TTCGAATTCCTCCAGTTCGAGTTTTTCCATTTGATTTCTGTTTTGGTTTATTTAAAAAAAAAAACGGTATTTTCCTCGAAAACGCAACCTCTGTTGAAATATTTAATTATTTATTATTTAATTATATATTTAAATATATTATATGTTTGAAGAAAAAAATAAATAATAATTTGATAATAACTTAGAAAGTATCGTTTATAATAATAAGTAAATAAATGAAGAATATATTGAATTTATTTCAGAGGGATGTGCCTTTTTCCCCAGAATATGCAGAAATCTTAACCGCATTGAGAAACTGGAGGAGGAAACGAAAAGAGAGCGGAAAGAATTCAAAGCTTTGTTTGTGCAGCACCGCAAAAACTTTCTGGAATTTCGAACTGCGGTTACCAACAATGGACTAATAAACTACTATATAAACGATACTATGAAAAATATTGAAAGCCTTGACGATTGGCAAACTCGATTAAGCGCTAAACTAGAAGCATTTTTTCCAGACTCAATGGACATGGTTAGGTTGGGAAATAAAAGTGCCTTTGATAAGTATTTAGTGACACTAAGCATTGAGCGTTTGGAGTATACTTTGAGCGATATCAATACTATGTTAAGAGACCAACAAAAAAGTCAATTGATAGGAATGGTGGTGCAATTACTGGGAGAGGCAGCGATAAATAGATTTCTGGAGTCATATAATAAAGCATACGCTCAGGTTCTCAAAGGACCAGAAGATATTTTCGCTGGTTCTCAAATTCAACAATTGTTTCAGGAGGAGGGCGAAGACGTCAAATCATCAGGGGGGAAAAAATTCACCGTTAAGCAACGTTTAAAAGCTGTCCCGAAAGCATTTAAACAGATGGCCATAAATGCGAAAAAATATATGGTGCATAAAATTGTAAAAACCAAAAACTTTTTCACAGGAGGAAAATCTTCGCAAGTAGCATCGAAAGCTAGTAGATGGAATCGTTTCAAAGGACAATTCAAAAGTGTTGTTAAAAACACTCTTAACGGTTTAAAAGAAAAAGCAAAATCTTTTGTGAACAAATACAAGCCAAAAAATTTTGCGGTTTCTAAGAGTTTTGTCTTTTTATCCGTGGTCGGTTTGGTGGCTGATGCGGTTACTATTGGACTTACAATGAATGCATGGAAACAAAAGGACGAGGAAATAGAAAAGGCCAAAAACAAGAATGAAAAACATCTTGCAGACTTGAAAAGAGAAAAAAAGGACCTGTTAACAGAAATGGAAAGAATAAATAAAGAATGGGGAAAATTAGTACAGAACTTTAAAACCTCATCAGAAGCATTTGAGTCCACGATGCAAAAAATGACTAAATATTCCGACTTCATAGATGTTGTAGGTTTGCCGAAACTTTCAATTAAAAATGCTAAACGCATTCTTTCTGTTGATTTTCAAAAAGTTTCAAAAAATAATGTGATTCAATCCCAAAGAATTGTACTAGACTTTCTGAGAGAAAACGACCGTAATTTAACCGCAGTCAATGAAGCTTTGCGAGCACGGAGCGTGTTATATGATTACGTTATTGAAAACACGAAGAAAGGTAAAGGGGTATTGCAAATGACTAAATTTTTACACTCTTTGTATCGATTTGATGCCTCTACAGTAGTGCGTAAATTTGGTGAAAAATTAAAAAAGAAGGACGTTGTTTGCACCGTTGCAATAATACGGGCAGATAAAAAGATATATGATTATTATCCTCTTCCCCCCTTTAGACCAAGATGTGAGGTTAATGATACCTCCTATGCTACAATGGATCAAAAGGCTACAAAACAACAAAACATGAAAATCATGAATGATGTTATAGATATGGAACTGGAAAAAAAATCGGTCGTCGGCTTGTCTGAACTGTTGACAACTATCAGGAATGCCTACAGAATCCAGGGACAATTGTCTCTTACAAATTTTGCCAAATCAATTACTGAAAAGGATATACTATGTCGAATTTCCAGCAAGTTTACAACACTTGCTGAATTCGATTTCATTCCTCTGTCACCGTTCCGAAAGAAATGTCCTAATATATCCAATAATGACCTGAAAATTTTAAAAGAAAAGGCCTCAAAAATGAAAATGCTTCATGAAAGCATGACATCAACCATGAAAATTTGTAAGGCATGGAAATTCTGTCCTTGCATTCAAACCATGTCAACTATGTATCGTGCAAATAAAGATGATATCAAGGCTACTATAAAACGATTGAATCCAGAGATTAAAGAGTACTGTGGAACTACAGGATGCCAATGTATAATTCTTTGATTTATCGAGGATTGATTATTCATTCGCTGGTGGTGTCCACATGCTTTCGAACTTTTCTTTCTTTTGCAAATACATGTACATTGAACGTGTTCAAACGGCACCGGCTTTTTAGATACATAATCAAGTATGTACTTTCTATAATCTTAAGTGTGTTTATTCATTCAAATATTGAAGACGGCTATTACTGTCTAATTCCAAGTTTGTTATGAATTAACTTTTAGACTCAATATTGAGTTTAGTTTCAAAGTATACATTTGTAAAATAACAATTCGAAGATGACACAAGTATTCTTGTGAAAGTAAATCCACAAAAAAATTTTTTTCTCTTCACAAATACAAAGGTATGTTTTTAATTATTAATTATCATAATTTTTTTTATAAGAAATAGCACTCTTAAAGGCATAGAGTGCAATAGAAAATTGTATAAGCAGTGCATTTCAAGGACATAATAATCAATTTAAAGACTATTAATGATTAAAAAGCACGAGAAATCAATATATTTTACTGTGTTGTTCTGGTGGTGGAAATATAGAAATAAAGACTTTACACAACAATTTCAAATGTATTTTTTCTCCAATACCTTGTGGCCAGTGAGATGGACACTGAAAATTGCCATTTTCCTGCAGCTACATATGTCGTTGTGTAATACATGTACATATGTAAATTACCGTATCACAGGCGGTATACCATTTTACATGACCCAAGATGAATCAACTGACAAGTTTGATTATTCTAAGCCAATTGCGATATAAAATAGCCATCAAATACCAAAAGTAGGTCATGGTGACTTCGAGAACCCAAAATGCATCAACTGACAAAGTTTGATGATTCTAAGCCAATTAGTACATGTATCTGAATTAGCCATGAAATTGCAAAAGTAGGTTGCCACACTTTGAGGATCAAAGATGCATCAACTGACAAAGTTTGATAATTACAAGCCAATTAGTATCTGAAAATATTTAAATTTTGCCATAAAGTTGCAAAAAGCAGTTCATGGTGACCTACTTTTTGGTTGATACACCCTGAGGACTCAAGATGCATCAACTGACAAAGTTTGATAATTCAAAGCCAATTAGTATTGGAAATAGCAATCAAATTCCAAAAGTAGGTCATGGTGACCTACTTTTTGGTTAACACAATTTGAGGACCCAAGATGCATCAACTTACAAAGTTTGATGGTTCTAAGCTAATTACTCTGAAAAGCAATCAAATTCTAAAAGTAGGTCACAGAAATCTACTTTTAAGTTGACACACTTCGGGGACCCAAGATGCATGAACTGACAAAGTTTGATAATTCCAAGCCATTTAGCATCTGAAATTTTTAAATTTAGCTACAAAATTGCAAAAGTAGGTTATGTTGGTTGATACTATTCAAGGACTCAATGTACATCAACTGACAAAGTTTGTCTAAGCCAATTAGTAACTGAAAAAGCCATCAAATTCAAAAAGTAGGTCACGATGTACTACTTTTTGGTTGACACAATTTGAGGACCCAAGATGCATCAATTGACAAAGTTTGATGATTCTAAGCCAATTAGTATCTGTAATATTTAAATTAAGCCATGAAATTGCAAAAGTAGGTCAAGGTGACCTACTTTTTGGTTGATACACTGTGAGGACTCAGGATGCATCAACTGACAAAGTTTGGTGGTCCTATGCTTCGAAGTGTCCAAAATATGCCTCTAAAACAATTTGAAAATGATACCTGTAAAATTAAAAAAGTAGGTCACTGTAACCTCCTTTTTGACAAATAAGTTTTAAGGCTCCAATGTGCATCAACTTAAAAGGTTTGATGATTCTAGACCTCTTAGTGTCTGAAATAATGACCTTCAATGATTAGAAAATGATTAGCCATAAAATTCAGAAAGTAGGTCATAGTGACCTACTTTTTTCATTGACACACTCATGCATAAAATGACAAATTTTGATGGTCATAGGCTTCAAAGTATCCAAGTTATGCATCAAAATCAACTGAAAATGAATACATGCAAAATTCAAAAAATAGTCACCATGACCTACTTTTGAGTCAACATGATATGATGTCCTAAGATGCATTAACTGACAAGATTTGATGATCCTAGGCCATATAGTGGGCAAAATATCATAGTGTTAACAAAACATAATTTTTGGTCAACTTTGAAGTGACCTAAAGACCACATCCTTTACCCTAGGGTGATGCCTTGAACAATTAATCTTTAACATATCCTCATCCTTGTAAGTTTGGTGATAATCTGTCCAGTGGTTCTTGAGATTTTTTAGCAACCACTACTTTTTGTTTTTATTTCCCTAATTTCTACCCTTGTTTAAGGGACACATCCCTAGTTTTAGTACAAATGAAATCCCTTGGGCCAAGGATATTCTGTGACAAATTAAAAAAAAATTGACTAAGGGGTTCTTGAGATATGGCCCATTTTCCAAAAAAGTTTATGCAACTGCAAATGTCACAAATGGCGATAGCATAGCTCTTTGAGCCTTTAGCTCAGAAGAGCTAAAAATTAGCAAATTTAACATGATGACCTCTATCTTTTAAAAAGCAAAAAATAAAAATGACAATAATTCAATACAAACATTTGAGATTGATTTTAAGTTTTTAATCTTGCAAACACTGAAATTCAAAGAGTTTGAAGTTAACATACTAAGACAACAAAATAATAAACATCCATATGAATAATATGGTCTCACAATAAAAATAGTGATGGAATGAATAAATAAAATAACATCAAACAAATCTCATCATAAAAATACTTCAGCAAAATACTACAAACAAGCAATTTACATTTGACTGCTTTAGAATATGAATGTTAGTCCACTAATTTAAGGAAACATAATTGCAAAAATTGAATTTCCTCAAGATTGTTGATCAAAATTTTACAACAAAGTACATACTGTAAACATAGAAATGCTTACACAGCGGGGAGAAATTCCCATGCAAAGGGTTGGCGAACAAAAAGTGCAAATCTACCTCCAGAAAGATTTTCGACATTTACAGTACAAATTTAAAACTGGACCCTGTAGGGATCAATCCAAATCCAAATTGATCCAAATTAACCTTCATTTCCAAATCATAGATAACACATACAATTTTGTATATGGAGTTTTAATGCTTATCATTCCTTTTATAAACTGAATTGTTGGAATCACTTGGTATTGGAATGTTATATTACAAAGTATGTCCCGTTTCCATGGACCAATCACTGCCAGGGTCAAGAGGTCACTCTGTATTAAGACTCACTTCTTCATGCCACATTTGATGATGTTCAAAATCATCCTCACACACAAACATTTCCTTGCATATCTCACAAAATAGGACACCTGCAGCTCTCTTGTCAGAATTTTCATTGTGATTTGTGTAATTACTAACAACAGAAAGTGTTTCTCTTGCTTCAGGTGATCTTTCTTTACTCTCTACATTACCCATCTCAGAGTCGCTAATTTCATTGTCTGAGGAAATCCCCCTCCCATCTGAACTGCTAACATCATCCTCCATTTCTTCATTTTGGAACTTTTCTATCAAACGCTTACTTTTGGCGGAGATTTTTTTGGGACGAACATGTTTCCAGATGTGACGATGAAGTTTATATCTTTGACTGAAACATTTTTCACATTTCTTGCATCCAAAATTATTTTTCTTTTTACCAGTATCATATAGTACCGCAAGACATTCATGTTCCTGAAGATTGAATTCATTTTCAAAAGAAAGTCCACAACTTTTACAGAAAATATCTGAATGCTGAAAATTCACATGATATGTCATAGAACTCTTTTCTTTAAATAGCCTTCCACAATATTCACAACAGAAAGACCTCTCATTCATATGAACAGCATTTATGTGTCGTTTCAGATTATGTGAATTCGACAAGACCTTTTCACAAAAAGAGCACTTAAAATTACTCTGCCTACCACTGTGAAGTTTCTTGTGATTCTGTATAGAATTAATGCTTAGTGTCTTTCCACAAATGTCACATTCCACAAGTACCAAACCATTCTCTGGGTCAATCTTTTTTACAGCAATGTTGTTGGGTTCATGAAATAGGGACAAGTCAGGATGCATTTCACTATCTTTATTTAAATTCTTCTGTTGGATTTTCATGTCATCATTTGGTTCTTTTGTGGAATAGCATATATATTTATCACTGTCATTATTGTCTGAAGACACATTACTTCTCCCTCTTTCATCAGAACTGTCTTTCTTATCCTCCATTTCATTATTTCCATCTGTTTCTTCATTTTTAAACTTTTCCATTAAACGCTTACTTCTGGCAGAAAGTAGTTTAGGGCCAGAGTCAATGTGATTCTTCATGTGGCGATGGAGTTTACACCTGTGAACGAAGTACTTCTTACATCTTTTGCATCCATACAGAGGTTTCTTTGATCCATTATCATACAGAACAGCATAGCATTCGTGTTTATGAAGCCTTGACTTACTTTCAAAGGAAATTCCACACTTTTTACAAGCATTTTTGGCATGTCGAGTATATTTGTGATAAAGCATCGTAGCCTTTTCTGCAAATTGCTTCCCACAATATTCACAGCAGAAAGACCTCTTATTCATATGAACAGTATTCATGTGTCTTTGCAGATTATGCGAAGATGAAAAAACTTTTTCACAAACAGAGCAGTTTAACATAATGAGCTCACCATTGTGAATTTTCCTATGTTTCTGAATTGAGTTTATACTTAAGTTCTTTCCACATACATCACATTCCACAAGAACCTTGCCATTTTTTGAGTCAATCTTTTTGATGACTATTTTTTCTGGTTCATGATATACAATATCAGGAGTTGTTTTCCTTTCTGCAAGTTGATCTTTTTTGTGGATTTTCATGTGATCATTAAATTCCTTTCTGGTCTTAAATACCTTTGTGCAAACACCACATGTATAATGGGCAACTAATTTACAATCTTCCTCTAAAAAAGAATGCGTTTTGACATGCAAGTGTAGTGTACTTCCATTTCCAAACCATTTCTTACATATCTTGCACCCATACGGCTTTTCTGAACCTTCAATGAAGATTGCACTGCACTGATGAGTTTCAAGCTTCTCGTTTTCATCAAATGAAAGTCCACAAAGTGCACAACGATATTCAGAATGCTGATACTCCCTATGATGTAACATAGTACGTTTGTCAGAAAAAGTTTTTCCACAGCGATCACATGAGAATGGTTTGTCTTTCATGTGCACCCTGCTGAGGTGACGCTGCAGGTTATATGGCTGGGAAAATTTTTTGCAACATACATAACAAATCAACTCACAGTCCGGAATCTTAGAGGACTGGTTGTGTTTCTTTTTCAAGTGAAAAGTCAATTTCCTTTTATTTGGAAAAGATGTTGAGCATACACCACAGACAAAAAGACCTAATGATTCCTTTTCCTTATCAGAATCCTCAAGATTAAGGCTTTTTTGTTCTGACATCGTGAAAATAACGTCTCTCCTGATTTAACTTTTCCCAGTGTTAAATGTTTGGATCAGACTTCTGCTCTTTTTATTGATATTTACTTCGTTATCTGTTGATATGTCTGCTAAGAATCTCATGAAAAAGGATTAAATCATCATTTATCCTAAACCTTTCCTATTTCCAGGACGACACCTCCAGTCCAAATGAAGTTGTTACTCATTTGGGTCTTCTTTCGGCGTCCTCTTGCCATTTCCATCACATTCAATCAAACACTTGTCACTACAAAATTACAAAGGTTAATTATTATATCAATGCCACGCAGATGTGGGCCTATTTCAGCATCTGTGTAGGTACTTATCACATTCGAAAACTGTGCGAATTTCCTCTAAAGTTATAGTTTGTTTTACCTTCGATGTGATTTTGTCAAATTAGACTCTTGGCAAAAGTTTTTTTTATGGCTCAAAACATTGAAATATGTAGTTTAATTTTCTTATGAACAACAGATTTGAGAAATATTGATCCTTACCGTCAGATGTCTAAAAATTCCAATATTCAATATATCTAATCCTAGTACAACTTATCTTAAAAAAAATAATGAACAAGTAAAACAATAACATATTCGTAGCTAAAATTTCACGAGGTACAAAATAAGCTCGTTTTGCAGGAGCAGTGACAAGATTGATGTTCAAATCAACTTTAGGTTAAAACTATTTCTTCATTTTTTAAAGTTAGGAGTGGACGATCCAAAGAGAGCATCAATGTCTATGTTAATTGGTTTAGAAAAAAATCCTAATAAATGTTATAATTACTTTGATATATATAGCATGCAAGACATTGTTTCAACCAAATTTGTTTAATACTGGTAAAAAGATGTATTTTCAACAAGTTGAAGAAAAAGTTGTGTCTTCATTAGAAAATAACATAATATTAAGTAGAAAACAATGAAACACAGAAATTGTCTTATAGAGCAAAAATTATTACCAGTAGTTCAATGATAGAATGAATATGAGTTATAGAATCTCCAGGAACATTTTCCTCGTCGGAACATGCTTGACACTTGTGAAAATTAATTTAAGGCTCTCTTGATTGTCAATTTCTTTTTTTTTTTAAGGAATGTTAGATTAATTAAGACACCAAAAAAAAAGAACAAAACAAAAGAAAACAAAAAAAAAAAACAATGCAATTTACTGATCAAAATGCACTAACCTTACAAAAATTATTTGTTGACTGTGTGCATTCTGGATTCAATTTTTATCAATTTGCATGGATCATTTTTGTGCCCCAAGTGACCTTTATCTTGTCCAAATGATCTTGGATTACATTCAAAACACACTCATTTAATGTCAAAAGTAGAACTTTGAAATATGGTTTTGCAGTTATGTGGTCTAGGAAGATGACAGAAATGCACCTTTTGCCTCCCTCCATCTTGATTTGACCAATGACTTTTAGTCATCATAAAATCATGTGCGTTTTTCTGTGTGACTTGAATTTTACAGAAATCCAAATCATTTCTGTAAGTGCATTAGTTGCAGTCTACAAAATTCAGTAATATTTATATGCAGTTACAACACAAAAGAACTTTCATATAATTTAATGTGTATCGATCATTTTAACTACATGCACATGTACTTTGTTCTAAAATTATTGAGACGGTTTTTGTATCAGCACAGTACTGGTTAATCTGTTAATCACTATCTATCAGTATATTTCACATAAAATTGTGTTTATCCTGCATTACATGAATCTGTCTTCCTGAAAGCCCAATTTAAATTTATCACTTTCAAAGCCAGCTGTTTTGAAATAATGAATCAAGTGTCAAGACAAATAGGAAACATAAAATTACTGCATACAATAATTTGCTTCACATTGCAAAATAAACAATTCCATAGTGATAGCTTATTAAATCGTGCATCAAGCAACAACAAAATAGCCAAGCTACCATACTGTACAAATGCAAAACATTTTCTTCAAGAAATACACCAACATGTACATTGTAATCTATTACAGTAACTACTGATGATGCAAATCCATAAATGATATATTGTAACAAAATTAAAGGACTTCCATTTTTATTATGAGTGGATGAATTTTTATTTATTTTAAAAAACAACATAAGTGGTTAACACAGTAGTGATTATTGATACAATTATATCACTAATGATACAATTATATCATTAATGATACAATTATATCACTGATACAATTATAACACTAATGATACAATTATATCACTAATGATACAATTATATCACTAATGATATATTATATTAATTATATTATATTAATGGATAAAATTTCACCCTGTAATGCTACAATATATCATTAGTAATTTAAATCATTAGTGGTTACTGAAATCAATTTCTAGTGAAAGACTTGCTCATATTTTTGGAGGTTTTTTTTGTAAAACATTGTACACATTTCTTCACACATGACTGGAATTTTTGCAAATAAAACTGAGAGTAAAAAAACAGAGTAAATAGTGTCATCAGGGTAAATTATTGAAATTTTAACATCCCCATAAACCATGAACAACACAATTGTATAAAGTATATATTGCTCATTAATCTGAACATTAAGAAGCTACATGTATTTATAATCTGCATTTAAAAAAATCAATCATCAACAGCTTAATGTTTCGATATACATGTACACAAATTATGACCAAAGTTATATTGAAATAACATAGACGTTTAGCTTCAATAGCTTTAATATCAAACATCATATAAAAAGGCTTGTCAAAAGATGAATATTATCTGTCATAAGGTGTAGGAATCAGGACATGAGATACTGTACATGTAGAAATGTATGCATGGGTCTAATTAAATGTTACTCTGCCAAAAAAAAAAAAAAATAAACAAAACTTTCATGATAATATATCTCTACACACTCCAGTTCCTTCAGGCATGTCGTATTCTGCATAAACAATATAAGTTACACTGGTATCATGGAAATAAAGTCCTCATGCATATGGTTACTCTACTGATCCATGGTAATTAACAACCCACAAAAATATCCATGTTTACACTGACTTGTTTAAAATAGAGTAATATATATATACACCAACAAAGAAAATCGGCAACAAAAAAGCACTAATGAGAAAAAATAACATTCCATTAAACAAGTAAGAAATATTAATTACTTATGCTAGTCATGACAAAAAAAGTGATCAAATTAACTTGTCATGCTCTCTGAACTGCATCAATTACAGAAAAACAATAGAAATCTACAAAAAAAATTGTTCAGGTATCTTCAAAAAACACATTGCACATTATTTTTCAGCACTTTAAGGAATTCATTATACATTTAACATTCATCATATCTTGAATATCTTTTTTGTGTTTTATAATATCATAGTACTTTTTGTTTGACAGCACAACTGAGGGTTAAAACTTGAAAAACTTGCAGTCAAAGCCAAAATTAAAAAAAAACATAACTACATGTATTAGCTACAATCCCAAAATGCTGGTTTTCCTACCTCCTGAGCCCGTTATGATATGTATTTCTGAACATAATGCACTCCATATAAATGCATGAAACATTGTAACATTGCAGGCATCAATGGACTACATTGTATTTCCATCTGTTTTTATAACTTGATAAAATATATGCTATATCTCTGTCTACATGTACATGTAATTGCCCTCAATTTCTCTTTTTTGAATGGACAGATTAGCTCTAAGTAATGAATTTAGAAGTCTGTAAATTCTAAAATCACTCCTAGTCCTTCACACAGAAGAATATTTACTTAAATCTTGGATAGGAAACTTTTGGTTTATACAGTAATCCCCACATAAATATATACCGGTACTACCTTTACCAAAAAAGAAAACAAATCTGCATGCAATCTCTCAATAATCTTAACCACATTGTTTTAAAATAAAATAGAATAGACAAAATTTAGCAAGTGATATAGCACAAAAATTGCCAACACACCAAATATAAAGTAGATAATAGATAACTGATTTACATGTATTTTTACTTTGTCCCCTTGCACACCGTTCTGTATTTTGTTTATCATATGACTCAAGGTTTTGCTTTCCACTTATGTCCTCTCCCTGTCAATTCTCTATGACACCAAAGACTTGCTGGCTAATACCTATAAGGGCAGTATCATCAAAGATGCTGCCAGTGGATGCTCATCAAGTTCATATGAGATTCTATGTTGTGGGCCACTGTCTCGGGGATGCAATGTGTGAACCACATCTTCTGTAAGTTTTTGTAACTGTCTTTACACAAATGAAGGGGGTTGCCTCGTCTGCAAAAATGTTAATTTCATAAGACCCAAATCAGAGACGACACAGTTCATAAATGTACGTGTATTGTATGTACATGTATCCAAATAACAAAACCGTGATTTAATGAAGTGATTGTATACTGTAATCTCATTCTAACCTTAAGCCCTGATCTGTCTCTCCATAGCTATCAACATAAGGAGCTGGGATGAAGCAACCTTTCGTTCCAGCTAAGAGAACTATCTGACACTCTCGAACCCTGAAACAAATTCAAACTTAAATAGTTGCAAGGATAATAAAAGTATTTGACAAGATAATTTATTTTTGTAATTGGTAAATGAAAACCACAAGTTTAATAGAGGAAGCTAACTGTTACCTGAGCAGGATCCCCACGCCGGCTCCACACCTGAGTGTGTGCTCAGTGGCCGCACCTACTTTGGTGTCTTTAACCTCTGTCTGACAACAGTAGCTCTGAGAGCAAACAACAACCCCACACACTAAACACATGGTGGGCAGCTGGCTGTCATTGCCATTAGAACTGGGACATCTAAAAATACAGTTAAATGACAAAATAAAACAATCTTATCAACATTAATTTAACATGATATATAACCAGGATTGCATTGTGTTAAACACTGGTTAAAGCTGACCAATGATTAAATCCTTTATCAAGGGCTTAACTTTTGACCACTGGTTAAACTTGTTTTGGGGTAGTGATAAAAAAAAATAATTTTATCTTATATAAATTATATTTAAGATAATTAAAAAAAAGGGGGCGGAGCAACTTACGTGAATGAGGAGATTTGATTGATCAGTTGGCTGTAGTCATTTGGTAGATCAATAAGATGATTGACAGGTAGAGGATAAGACACCAGGGACTGAGATGTAGCAGAAGATAACCTTGACCTCAGGATGTCACTAATGCACCATCTGCAAACAAAGAACAGAAAAACAGTTATAAATTACCGTATTCACTATAATCATATGTTACTGTACATGAACTTCCTGCAAATGCTCATGTACACATGTATATACACATCACAATCACCAGATTAGACAAACTGACTTCTTTTTCTGAATCTTTAGATGACACTTACTGATTGAGTAATCCATCTAGAAGGTCCCCTTGGTTGAGGAATAGTTCTGAGAAATTACTTGGCAGTGAGAGGTAGGAACAGAAAGGCTCCATCTCCTCTGTCCAGTCTGTAATTAAAATTCAGATAAAATTAACCTCAATCATCATTTAGGATACAGAGATTTCACCTCAGTGTAAGCTTTTACTGATCTGTTCCAGAAAATTCACCCCTTTTCCCCTTTACGGGAATTCATTGAGCTGTTCAAGAACAGTCATTTATTCTAAAGTATTGTGGCCTTAAATCACCATCTGCATAAACAAGTAAAAAGGAGACTAAAGTCCATTCAAAAAAATCTTCTGTCTACTCATGAATTTTGTCTTTCTACTAATTTTTTATAAAGGACTTACCTTGAAGCCTGGCTGGAATAGGTACCCCAGTCAGATTGTGATACAGTACAGTGGCACATCTCAGAAATGGCAGGACAGCATCATTTATATGTCTTGACAGTTGCCAAGGTAATGGGTCTGAATTACTGGGTGGTAGACATCTTCAGTTTAAAAAAAACTAACATTGATAAAAACATGAAAATAGCTCCGATAGCTGAATTTTTTACCCAACTGCAAAACTGTATATCCGCTGAATATATAATAAACAACAAACTCTGAAGAGACTGTACTTCTACTAGTTCAAAAAAATTATACCCATGAATATTTTATGAATATTAAACCTTTGATGAAACACAAAATTTGTCACAAAGTACAGCTGTATAGATATGATATGCATATTAAATCTTTGAGTACATAAGTATTTGCCAAACAAACTGTATCATGGAGAGGGAATCATACCCTGCTTTTCTCCTGATTTCTGTATAAATAGACATGAGGGCAATAGACTCCACATCACTTTCCATTTCCATGTCAGCTGAAATTTAACAATGCATTGTTTTCAGTAAAAACTTTATAATTTGTCTGTAAACTAATGTACCAAAATCAGCTATCTCAATGTTTGTCTTGTAGCTATCCATATTATGGAAAAGTACTAAAGTGTTTTCATATGCAATAATCTCATATCAATGAATGAGGATAAGAACAATGATAGATGTGAAACACTAGTCAGCTTTACAGAGCATATCTCTACTAATGTAGATTGATTACTGCTACACATGGTAAAACTGTAGTAAAATGATGCAATCCAGAAGTTCTGTAGTATGTGCTTGATCCACCTAGTTCAGCTACAGAAGACCTTCATACCTTGATCTTCACTCTCGGTTGGTTTATCATACAGAAGCATGGCCTGTACTACGTGTGCTGTCAGGACCAGCTGCAGTATATACTGGTTATTCAGGCTGTTCAGTGGGAGACTGCTGGATGTGGCTCCCTCTGTGTAGAGGCTGGGTAATGCCATCGTGACTGCAGTGAGGTAGTGGAAGAGGTCAATATCCAGTATACACTGGGGATCTTTGCTCTTCTCTAGACCACCAGTCAGTAATCCTGTAATGTAAATATGAAAAGGGAAAAAATTAACACTGTTTTCATCAATGCTGCACACATTCAGTAAAACTGACAGGAAAGGGGAAAAAATAGCAATTTTTAAAGACATACTTTAAGCTTCAACTATTCCAAAGAACTTTGATAACTTCAAGCAATATAAAGAGTTTTATATATTGCAAGTATTGTGAACAAAGTTAAGGTAAATGACTTTACCTGAAAGTAGCCTCAGGCAATGCTTCTTAATGACTTCCTGGGGCATGACCTGACCACACACGGCAGCAAATTTGACCAGAGCGTTGATACAGTCTACATTTCTGGAGGGAGAGGTACCAAACAATGGCTTCATCTCGTCTCTCAGGTACTGCTCTGTAATCAGCAAAAAGTGACATGGATTATGGAAATCTTTGCATTCATCTTTAGTTTTAAGAGTCAAGAAAATAAAAGTTTTAAGCATAATAAATACAATGTGCAGGAGTACAGTGACACAAATTTAAGTAAATTATAAATGAAGAATATCAACCTCCTTGTGACAATATTTTCTTGTTTGTCTTTGAACTGACATACTGGAAATATGCAAAATGCATTCAGTAGATACTAACAGTTATCTGAAATCTCAATCTCATATACACTATTCTTTAAATGTAAGGATCAAGGTTGTATCTTTGGACCGATGGACTATCGAACAATTTCTTTTTAACCTAGGGGCATATAAAAAACAAAGCACTTTTTTATCAAACAAGGAGAGTGCCTGGTACCAAAGATACAGAGTACATGTAATTTGTACTGTACAAAATTATTTAAAATGATTGATTATCTGCCATTAGAATACACACACACAAGATATGAAGTAAATTTTTCATCTCTCTTTTAACTCTTTTATACTATCATGGATGTTCACATAGAATAATTTCTCCAATGATTAATTATATAAAAGAGTATGTATTTATGATATTGTTGCTTACCAAGGTTGATAATCGTGTATGCACATGTATTCCAGGCCATGATAGGGATCCTGGAGTTAATGTCGTCTGGATCTACACTCAAACCAAACTGAAAAGAGAAGCCTCAGATTCAATTCATTTTCTTAATTCATATTAATGTATACTCAGAAATGAGAAACAAATGATTTAGTTGAGTTTGGATTCCAGTTATGAAGTAAAAGCTGAATCTTTGCATTTACATGAGAAGTGTGTAAGGGCAATAAACAAAACTAGAGGTACTGTGATTGAACTTACAAAAAAAATACCCCCCACCACAATTTTATTAAAGTGCCAATTCAATTTTTGTAAATGTGACCTTGAACTTGCCAAAAAGACCTTGGTTAAAAAAAATTACACATCCTCTGGTCATAAGCAATATTTGTACCAAGTATGAGCTTCCAGTGATTCTCCATTACAAAGTTAAAGCCTGGACAAGAATTTTATAATTTTTTCTGCCAGTGACATAGAACTTGCTGAAATGACCTTGAATTAATGACTTACCCTTGTGTCAAACACAATCTATGTTCCAAGTATGAGCTTCCAGTGATTCTCCATTACTTAGTCATAGGCCGCACAAGATTTTTTCTACCAGTGACCTTGAACTTGCTTGAATGACCTTGAGTCAAGGTCACAACACACCACTGGGTCATAAGCAATCCCTGTACCAGGAATGAGCTTCCAGTGATTCTTCAGTACAAAGTTATGGCCTGAACAAGATTGCACAAACAGACGGACGGGCGGACAGACAGACAAGGTGATTCCTATATACCTCCCCAAACTTGGGGGGTATAAAAACTTTTAAAAAATACAGTTAAAGACCTAATCAATCAGTGAAGGAAAAATAGCTGTATTTACATTTACTTGTCATTATAATCTACTTACTGAGTATACATCTTTTGCAAACTTTTTCATCATTTCCTCCAAACTTTCACTGAATCGACCACTGTAAAAAAAATCATTAATTTGAAAAAGTACATTTACATACTAGTTCAGACAAGTACCTGCAATGAAAATAATTTGTTACTAGCACATTTACAAAATTTAATGATCTTGATCTTGGTGACATACATGTACAAAGAATTTTCTAGTTCCCAGGCCAATTTTCTCGAAAACAGATGAGGGTGAGAGGTTTTCCCCCTTTTTTATTGGTAATACATGTACATGTACATGTAAATAAAAGAGGGAATCATTTTTTATTCCCTAATGCTACCAAGTAACAATAAAAAAATTGTCATAAATATACTGCAAACAACTTTAAGATTTTTTAACATCTAACAACATTACTGTATATACATGTACATGTAGGTAAGTATTGTTGATGCAACTGATCTTATTTAATAAAGAATGCCCAATTCAAAACTGTGATTACTCTACAAAAAAAATACTATTGAAACTACACACATTTCAAAATATTCAATGATGATATTCATCGCATCTTAAAGGGACATGGAAACATTTTCAGGTACACTACCAATACTGTATTTGTTTTAAAATACTTTTAATATTTCAACTTACATTTTTTTCTCCATTATACAGCCTTCATTCTTAGTTTAAAAGAGTACAAAATTTTGAGTTCCAATATGAATTTTTTTTTTTGTCCTCTCAGAAGCGTCACAAACAGGTATAACTACAGGTGTGAAGCACACAGTATGTAAATCTTTTAACTTCTGATAAATAATTGATAACCAACCCAATGAAGAGGAGAAAATTAATGGAAGCAGCAAAGATATTATTGCAAATCATGTTCAATATACATGTATACATGGAAATTTGGTTATTCATTTGCATTAAATGCATTTGCCCCTACTTTCATTTTCAACATTAAGTTTGACTAAGGCTTCTTTTGATATTGTTAGAATTTAGCATCTTGTAAATATTATTGCTTCGGATTTCTGAAGAGAAATCAAGTGAAATGCAAGCAGAATTTTTTTTTTCTACACTGCTCTCCACACGATAAAATTTTTATTCTATTGAAAATATGATAAACTTTGCAATGTGGTCACCTAGAAATGGATACACACACAGGCCTGAGAACCATATTTTCAGGTTTTTTTATATGACCTTATTGTTATTACCCTGATGTGTTGCTGACATAATGCCACAGTAATTGGAAATTGCTGGCCACACTATCTGCCATCAGTTTGGTAATACTGCTCAGAGGACAAGGCAGAAGTGGAAAGGGGTCATCTGAGAAAGAAGTCATGAAATACGTGGTATAATGTTTACAAAAAGCCCACTTTAGTGGCATAATGTTTAAAAAAGCTCACTTAAGTGGCATAATGTTTTAAAAAGCTCACTTTTAATGTACATGTATCTGGAAATAGCTTAACAAAAAAAGTTGCCTTTATCTTTAAATTTACGTTAATAAATGCAAGATTTTGTCTGGTAATGCTCATTCACTATAACAATGAGTTTTAAATGGCGTTACATGCATAAGCCATATTACTAGGAATCATGCTTAGTTTTCTGTGCAGTAGCAAATTACAAGCAAACCTTTACTGGCAATTTTGTCTTGTTTAGTTGACTTCTCTACTGTTTTTTGCAACCCATCTAACCAGTCTCCAAAACCCAAATCTACACTGCTTATATCACTGAAATAAAAAAAAATCAAGCACAGAATTTATAAGGAATATCTTGTATGTCCTTAATATACTCATCAATAGAATACTGCGGAATCATATTAATTTTGGGGGTCAGTGTTTCTGGGCAACCTTTCACTGGTTGAAGGGGATGTAATTTCTTAAGTAACTTATACATGTATGTATACATATGATTCAAAGAATCATTTCTTTGACAAAGTTATCATTTTTGTAAATGTAGATTCCTGAGTAAGGGTGACCCACTAATTCCATAAACATTGGTACCCCCATGAACAATGATAATTCCACAGTAATATGTTACGATTGTCTACCTGTCAGAGACAAGGCTATGTAGAGCAGGTATCAGGGGTATCACAGTATTGCTTAGGCTCTCACAGAGAGGACACAGATACTCTAACTGTACAATGTTATAACTCAGGGAGTGGGGGATCCGCGACAGGCGACGTCTCTCCTTGACTAGAATGGCTTGGAAGAAACTTAAAGAGAACAAAATAGTGCCAAATCAGAAGAGGCAGAAAGTAGTGAACCAATCAATTAGCTTTTAAAATAGTTTTTCTAAAACTTAGCTAATCTTTTTCAGATCCACGAAGCTTTAAAAGTGAAATAATCACAGGATTATGTATATCTGTGAATTGTGTAGTTCACATGTACATCAAACAAAAACATATATATATATATATATATATATATATATATATATATATATATATATATATATATATATATATATATATATATATATACATATATATATATATATATATATATATATATATGAAAAAAGCATGAGAGTGCTATAGCGTTAAAACATGAGAAATACAAATTCTGAGGCCCCTAAGTTTGAATGCTAAAAATTTGTAAGAAATGATTTATTCTATTAGATGTCTAACTGACTGGTACATCCTACCTCTGCCAGCAGTCAGCATGCATTGTGTGACCACAGGAGTTAGTAAAAGTTCCTACAAAGAGATCTGAACTTGTGAAGAGAGGATCAAAGTTTTCACCATCTGGAAACTCTTTGCTTTTACATTGGGACATCACGGTTGATCTGAAACAGAGAAATACATGTAAATACTCTGAATGGTTTCATCATCTACATGTTTATACAGATTCATAATAAAAGCAATGTGTATTGCAGATAAATTCACATGTAAATTGTATAAATATTTTACCTCTGCACAAATCCAGCCAGCACCATGGCCCTTGAATTGTGTGAGATTTCCTGTTCTTCTTGACACAGAATGCAGGTTGCCTTGGTAATGCCTATGCTACATGGAGTACTTCTGTACTTGCCCAGAGCCACTGGTGTTTCATGATGTGCACTCTCACTGGGAAGAAAGAATTATGAATTGTGAATTATATGTATATGCATGTATTAATATACATGTACATTTAATTTCTCTGACCACCACAGCAAAGAAATTGCTTAAACCTATATACACACACTTTCCATGACGTACAGCATATTATAGATTTAAAGCATCTTGCCAAAACTCCACAGTCCAAATTGAACTTGTTAAGAATGATTCACTGGTATTCATATTCTGCTAAACTAAAATTAAAGTAAGATATAAAGCCTCACCACTGATGACTTATTGCTAATCCATCACAAATATTGATACATACGTAAGTCACTATAAATACACTTTATACACTTAATTAATAAGAAAACAGGTTTAGAAAAATCATTAGATAACCAAATCAGAAAACAAAAAAAATGAATAGGTCACCTGATGTCCATTTCAGAAGTACCACGGGTAAGAGAGGTATCAGCATCGGTTGATTCAAACAAATCAGCATTGTCTCGGATAAAGTTCTGCTGCATTTGGGAAATTTTGGCAATAATTTTCTCTTTTCTTTTGGCTGCCAGCCTGGCTTTTCTTTTCTTGGCTGCCTCATTCTCTTCCTTGCTAAAGGAGCTGACCTGTTCAAAAGGACTCTGAGCCTCGGCTGAACTTGTCATCTGCCTCACCTCAACGAATTTCTGTCGGAAAAAAAGCAATTACCTACAAAACTCTGACTAGAATACTATAAATATTTATACATGTACATATGCTCATACCTTTCCACATCTACCTGAGTGAACCCAAAATCTGTGCCTGTCCTTTTTAAACCATCCTCTACCTTTGTCATGAGGTCACAGGAGTGAAAAGACCTTAAGTTACTGGATCAAGTAAAGGTATTTACAGACATATAGGAGTGATTTTTATACACTGTATCTTTAAATTTGATAAAGTGACTCAAAATCTTTAAAGTTTCCTCCTACATGGATTAATTCCTCTACATGTGTAGTGAATACGAAGATTAAATTGATTGATTAAATATTGTTTAACGCCGAGTCAGCAATCTTTCAGCCATATTTTGGTGAAATGTGAATATAAAGTAGGGATGTCAACGAATAGTCGACTATTCGACCATCAGTCGAACGGACTGATGATCGAATAATGAAAAGACATTCGAATATTATTATAATTAAACAAGCTTATCTTTTAAAAAGATTGGTGAGCTAGCACTGTAGCATAATAAAATACAGAAGAAGATATCCCAACCATTTGTTAAATTTGCTGAATCGATTAATTATTAATAGGAAGGCAGATTGGTGGTTGAGTTTGTGGGGGGGGGGGGGGGGGGGGGGGTGTCACAATTCAGAATGGTGGATCTAAGAGTGTGCTTCACGTCGGCAATGGCACAACTCCTAACTGTGCTTTAAGCATTCTGTATTTTACTGCAATTTCAATTTCGATGTGAAAAATAAAAGGTCAGTAGAACCAATGAGCACCTTCTGGCCTTTCCGGCAAGCTTGGAAAACATATCCGAGGTTGCCGCGGTTTTTCGAGCTTGTTGGAAAGATCTATGAAGGTAGATTAGAAAAGCTATATATTCATTACAACTTTAGAAATAACAGTCTTGGTTTTATAAGACCCGAGTTATACTTTTTGTTCATTCACGTGCAGGTTAGACAACAGAACACAAAACTTCAGATCATAATATGTATTTTCAGATGATAAACACTAAATTGCCATGTCTTTCCGACATACTCTGAAAAAGATTTTTGTTTTTGTTGTTGTTTTTTCCGAGCTTGCCGGAATTATCCACTAAGATGGTAAAACTGTAAGGAAAGCTAGATGTCTAGAATCTTGGCATTTTATGGCCAAATTTTTTCTTGTACTTTTATGTGTAGGTTAGACAATAAATTTAAAAAAAAAATTGAGAATCCGGATCTAGACTGGTATTGACTGTCTCTAACCTACGAAATGTATATCGCGCATATCAGACAGGAAAGGCCAGTGTAAATTCGGATCATTTCTATTTTTGTATGACAAAACGAAATTGTTATCGTACAGTCTATCTACAGTAGTTTTCCCAGAATGCCCGTGAAGTCGAGCATGCGTATTTCAGAAATATAGACTAACGTAGTTGCTAGCGCTCTCGAGCGCTAGCAATAAATGCAATAAATGAGTAATAACAAGATGGAATTCTCATCACAAAACTGAGAAAATGTCTTTCCTCAGAGACAGGCGATAAGATAATTTTTCTAAACAAAAAGCAGTTGATTTTCCCTGTACGTATAGAAATACTGTTATTTACTTATAAGTGCTTCACTAATGCGAGAAGTATTTGAGAAGTATTTGCCAGTAACGGCCTGTGTTGTTTTTGTAATAAATTACTAATATACTGGGCTTTGTTTGTAAGAATATTAAATGGACGTATACCATGTACCAATTATCTTTTGTTATCTTAAGATTGCTCAAATGCAAGGAACATTTTAAACTGTTTAAGGACATTTTGATAACCAGAGCAATGAATAATTGAATAAGCAGTATCTAACTGTTTAACAATTTCATAGGCACCTGACGTGTAAAAAGTGTGAGGTTAACCCCCCCCCCCCCCCATTTATTTCAAAATAAGCTTTAAAAAATATCGGCTGTCAACTTTTTAATGTGTACTAAAATAAAAACTGACTGCATGACTGTACAGACCGATTACTGATTTCTGCTGAAATCATACATTTTGGAGAATAAGGTTTCTAAATTTATTTCATATAATCATGCTATCCACGCGTTACGTTGTATTACTTTTGATGGTACTTTTTAAATATATTTAAGTAAAAGGGTTTTTGAGTTATAAATACGTCATGTAGCAGTGAAGTTTGAAAATATTTTTTTTTCAGAAAATGTTCCGAATATTCGACTATCGTTCGAATAATGCAATCGAATGATCGACTAAGGAAAATAAATATTTTGACATCCCTAATATAAAGACAAAATTTAACAAGATCTTAAGTTAACCTGTCATTTTAAGCACTGGTTGATAAATGTGTACATGTAAATAACCTTAAGAGGTAGGGGTTTGGATGGACAATCTGTTAACCAGAAGGCACCTACATTTTTAGTTGCTGGACACTAAAATGAGTAACATATATTGCATTTTTCTGCTGTGCTGGAAATTTTTAATAATTAAACTGATAATGGTAAAACAAACAGATGCATTCAGAGATGTTTGAAGGGAAATGATGCCATTTTATAATTTAAATTATAATGTGTGTATGTACCTTAAGGATCCAAGACAACAAATCCTTGGTTGAATCATGGGAAATATTCTTAGGATCGGCCACTAATGACTCCAGTAACTGCATCAAATTTGGTTCACCTACAACATTAAAATTTTACCAAAAATTTTTGAGCAGTGATACTGATTTGTGTAGCTATGACTAAACTTTGTCAATACAATATTTATATTGTGTATCAATCATTTTCAGGAGAAAGTGTACCTCTCATAGCCTTGCCAATGAAATCAAAGCCATGATGCCCATCTTGAATATTTCGTCTTTGTTCATGAAGTGCTAATCCAATCAAATGCAAAATCTAAAAACATTTAAATATTCTATGAAAATGTCTTTCTTTAATCTTTTTATTCATCCTATACAATGATTTATTGTCTTATTTTCATAAATTAAGTTAAAATGTGTCTTATAAGGTTGTATATCTTCAGTTAAGTACAGTCTGAAATTAGTATATTTTCTTTGTCGTCATACCCTATCCAGTTGAGTCTCGGACCACGATCGTGATCGTGTCGCCACACTTCTCTGTAGAATAAGGCTGAGGATGTGCACCATGACATCACACTGGAGGAGGTTTGAGATCCTCTCAAACTGGGAGGTGAAACGTGGAGGAACGGGAGGAGGGAGGGCTGTGAGTAAATTTTTATGATAAATAAATCAAAGTGTCTTCTTCATATGCTTACACATGAAACACTTGTATGTTTATTAGATGAAATCTTCAATAGCTCAAAAAGAGAAGCCAGAATCCAAATGCATAACAGCAGACTCTCCTTTCACATCCAAATCACAGGATGACAAATTTTAGTTAATTTTTCAAAACTTTCAAGATGACTCACAATCAAATTCAGATCTATAGACCGTACCATGACTTTCAGACTTTTCTTCTTTCTTTCTTTTAATTTGTGTCTCTTCTGCCTAAAAGAGTGTGGGAAAGGTTTTTGTAGAGTGAAAAAATATTACATGTATATTAATTATGTATTGTATATAATCAAACTGGCTTTTAATCAAAATAGATGTATATACATGTATGTGCAATGCCATGCAGATTTATCTCAATCTTAAAGGCAACAATTAGATAGATATTATCCTCACAACATTCCAAAAGAAATAAATTTATCAGATGGTATATCAGTTTAAAACAAGTTACAGTTTCTGTTTTTCAAATGTTATAGAAAAGAATAACTGAGGCACAGCTAAATGAATATCAGTAAAAACTCTGTATAATCTCACCTGTGATTGGTCAGTCCGACAGAAATGGTAAAAATAGGGGTTGAATTCTTTGTAACATTCTTTCTTCAGTTCAAACTTTCCAGATCCTGCTGTTCCTATAGTGGAGGCTGGTTTTCTATAAAAAAAGCAAAAATATATGTGTAAAAAGAGAATTTTGCCTTTACCATAAAATATGAAATTTAACTATAAGTATAATGCTTGCCAATTTTATTCCTGAAATACTAGTATTCTACATACCGAAAGTTTGCAACTGCATGAATAGCATCCTCTATGCCTGCCTCCATGTTGGTCTGATATTAAACAAAGTCACAAATTCATTTACCAAAAAAAAAGCAATTTATCATGTTACTTGTATATATTTTAGCATTAGTTCTGTATTACATGTACATAATATTTAGGTATTTTTGAATAAAACTTTATGTAGTTTTGTAAGTGTACAGTAGAGTACAGTATCTTTATGTAATATCTGTCAATATTTTATACAAAATATCACAACTGGAAGTGTATACAGCCAAAACATAATTCAAAATATTTTTGTAAATCAAAATGATTAATTGATTGTATTACCAAAGACTAGAATAATATTTCCTACAAACGAATACTGTGCAGGATTAATTTATCTGCAGGAGAATAATTTTCTAAATTGATATAATGTTTGGAAAGTAAAAACAAACACCATGCAACTACAGGTAAAAATAGACATTTTTCAAGTGGAATAACTCTGTAAATACTGCACTGATTTCGGTGTAGTTTTTTTTTTTTTTTTTTTTTGCTATTGTCATTTTTGGTGATTGTAACAAACAGTAATTATTCCAGTGGGCATTGCATATTTCCATTAATTAATTTTTCTGATAATGATATTTAATGAGATACACATAAACAAGAAATCCATGCATTTATTATGAAATTGAGCCCTTACAACAATACAAACTAATTACTGCCATACAATTAATTCAATGATCAAATAAATTTTATTTTAATAGAAACACCTATTTTCATTGTCAGGTGAATGTTTGTAGAACATCAATTTGTTTTGTATACCTACATTTACTGTTCTGTTTTTTTTTAATACAAGTACAGAAGTACACATGTACATGTACTTACATTATCTGGTAAATGTTTGGACAGCTCACTGTTTGACATAGGAGAAATGCACAAGAGATGGATTATCTCCCTTTTGAGAGTATCCTCCCTGGTCACCTGCCCTAGTCCAGGTACATATCTCTCACCTTTAGACAAAAAATAAATAAAAAAATAAATATATAAGGTTCATGACTGAAAAGTTTTGCACAATACATCAATGTAACATCTACATTTAACTGACAAAGTAATCAAAATTACACAATTCAATTACAGAGGCATTGCCTGTTTGTTACTAGATAGTTGGAAGTTCTATATACATTTGAATAACGATATCTAACTGGCAAATACACATACCTAATATAATAAGCACTAGGTTTAGAAATTCCTCAGCTAACATGATAGTCTGGCGTACATTGTCATCTTGTCCCGTGGGCACATCGTACTCAGGTCTTCAACATAAAAAAATTCATGTGGTAAAATAGCTGTGACACAATTCAAATCAAGACTTAATTTTCAAATGCAAATTAATAGTCAAATACTTTCTCATCAATTTAATCGAAGTGGTAAATTAAATTTTCGAATACAGTTGTCCAGATTGGCCTGATACTCTTTAAGGGGGCAAATCCCAAAATGGTGCATTTCAAACACCACAGAGTAAAAGGAGCTGCAGATGCTCATAAGAAGTTTGCACTGTACCTTTGCTGAAGGGGGGGGGGGGGGGGGTTAAATTTTTAAATACATTTGTCCAGATGAGCCTGATACTCCTCCAGGGGAATAATTTCAAATCAATATCTTTGTACTGTAGCTTCATTGAAGGGGGGATACTAAGATCTGCAGATACATAATGAGAAGATATGGATATAACAGCTTACTTTATCCAAACGAGTAGTCCATATCTGTTCAGTAAATGAATCAGGAACTCATTACTCTCGAGAACTGAAGCTCCAATCTGAAATAGAGAATAAGGAAGTAAAAATACAATAACAAACATTTTGGACAAATTTACAATCATCTGACATACTTGTACAGTCATGTAGATAAATGCATTTTTCCTCTACATGATACACTGATACCCCCTTTCATATTATGGTACAGTACCATGTCATCCAAATTTTTAATTTAACTTCAGAAGCCCTATTCCTGTACCAGTTCCATGTTTTGAATCAATCGGAATCTTCACATAAACATCCGGATGTTTGCATACAACTATGACAATCTATATTTGTAGATAGTTGATTTTTGAAAAAAAAAAAAGCTTTGTAAGACTGGCTACTATATGCTAGTCAAGAACATATATGACCTGATGTTCTTGAGAAAATTTATATATTGTTTACAGGGTTACTTTTGCCTAAGTTAATCTTGCAAACAATTTCACTCCTTATAAATTTATGGACACAGCTCTGTTTTAACAGAAATTACTGTCTTTTTTTGATTTCACATAGTTTTGAATTCACCCACTAAAGACTAAGATGAAAGGGGCAAAAATAAAGTGGAGGCAAAAATTTCCCTGTAGTCAGTAGTCAGTCTTAAACTTTACCCCCTATTGTGCTCTAAGTCAGTTTATAAAAAATTTAAAATGAATCTCAAAAGGGAGACAACTCACCTGAAGCATCATAATGTCCTTGTCATACATCTCCTGTCTACACTTTACATTATGGTAAAAATAAATCTGAAAACACAGGGGACAAAAAAAAAATTATTCAAAATCTTCTAAACTCAAATTTGATGGCAAGATTCAACAAATTAAAACTGTAAGAAAAGGATCCATGAGAATTTTGCTAAGCAGAATTGCAAGGAACATTTCTATTTGACCTGGTTAAGAAGTGCATATCCATTTCTCCTCCAAAGTCCAGCTTGGCTCTGAGCAATCATGACTTGTACTCTCAACGGGGGCTCAATCATCCTTACAGGGTCCAGATTCTGAAAAATAAAGACATTTAGTTATAATGAACTCTTCTCCATCGTCTACACTAATCTTACTGAATCCTTGGGGTTAAACAGAATTGTTTATAAGGAGTGTCTCTATAGATTTCACTTAAAACTTTCTCTACCTTGACACTCAGTTCTGGACATCCAAACTGTAGGTCGAACTTTCCCATATTCACAAGAAGACCTGTAAATAATGAAATTCGTAATTTTCTTCATTTATTCTTCATAAAAATAAATGAAAAATCACTTCACAACTACTCCAGTACACATACCAACACATTTGACAGAATTAATTTATAATTTCTCTTCAAACAAACAATTGAACATTTAAGATAACCACAAGGGAGTGAGAAAAAGAGACTTAAACATGAAGGGTTACCTGCAAGATACCGAGTGAGAGGGAGATGAATCGATACAGGCTGACTTTGAACGTCATACTTTATACACTTCACAGTGTGTCCGCAAACTGCAATGGAGTCATTAAAATCTTTTATATATATATATATATATATATATATATATATATATATATATATATATATATATATATATATATATATATAAAATCTCCCCCTTTCCTTTTCTAACTACTGCATATAGGAGAAGATCAGCTAAATAATGATCTTTAGTTAAAACTTTCTGATGACAGTGTTAATTGTTTTGACAATTTTTATCACCAATACAGCTAAATTAATGGAAAACCTTTAACCTTTTACAATCAGTTCTCCACATACCTGTCTGTTGCTCTGATTTCTGAGTCGTGTCTCTACACTCTAATAACATCTGGGCAGCTTTCTTGTATGCTTCAATAAATACAGTCCTCTGAAAAATAATTTCAATCGTTTATCTTTTGAAAGTTTCTACTAAAGTTTTGCATTGATCTTCTTTTCTGCTTGCATTACATTTAATTAATTTAAAGTTTTCTATATACTGCTTAAGGGACCAAGTGAATGACTATTGGGATTTTTACATTAGGCCAATGAAAAGATAACTATAGGGATTTTTACTTAAGGCCAATGAAAAGATTGCTTACAAAATAAATGTATGCAGATTGAGCCAATTTTGTGTTTAGAACAAACAGGAAGACTTTGACCAGAATATTGCTAGCCTGGATGTCCTGATCTTTTGATATAATATTGTAATAGCAAAACATCTATTACAAAACACAGGCAGATGACTGGAATTTTTTCAGCAATAAAACTGAGTGTGCACAACCACTTTACAAAGTGTGATCAAGAGACACAAAGATTTAGAAGTAATTTTAATTATTGATGTCCCTTACATCAGTGCTGCACCATTCTGTAAATGAGGCAATGACATCATCAACCCTCATCTGAAGGTTAAAGGCTCCCTCCCACTCTGGTTCATACTCCAGGTGCATTCCTGTCTGCCGCTTGACTTCATCCATACCCTGTTCACAGATATTACAATTTTATAATCATCACAGAAATATCACATGTTTCATACATGTTCTTTGATAAAGTGCAAATCAGTATTCTTTCTCTGATTTTCAAAACATTTTTTTTTATTCTAGCATCCTAATTGGTGTTTGTTCTTTGTATCAGGTATGTTTTATTCTAGCATCCTAGATGGAGTTTGTTCTTCATATCAGGTACATGTATATTTTTTTATATTAGCATACTAGTTGGTGTTTGTTCTTTTTGTTTAAGTGTTAGAATAACTTGCCTGCATAATTTTCAGAAGTCTTAGAAAAGACTCATGTCCCCTGAGAAAACTGTCCCTTAGTTTGTCATTCCACTCATCTGGCCCAGGTTTACAGATCAGGGCATACCTACATAACAAAACAAACAACTATTAGATTATTTATTGATCAGGGAAAATCTACAAGAAAAACTATCATTTAAATAGTATACGTGTATTCATCAACCATGCAATAGAATTCCTTACTATTAGTGCTTTTACCACCAATATATATCCAATTACACTATTCATATACTTGAACTTTTTGTAAAAGATTAACCCCATAAAAATGTACATATCAATAGTTTTTTTTCTTTCTGATTTGCCTTCAATCCCTAAAAGAACTTGGGTCCCAGCTTTTTGAAGGTATTTCTTTTTTCAAAAATCAGTATATGGTCAATTACTTGGCACAATACAATTCTGAAGGTGCCTTTTATGCCAAGATACATGTACATGAATTTGAATTTCCTTACTGTGAAATTAAGCATCAATGATTCCTAACCAGTTCAAAGTTGTGCATTCAATCCAAGGTACCATCATCATTTTACTGTATATGTTGTCAAGATTTACATTACATATCTCAATAAATTGATAGTTTTCAATACTTACTTGAGATCGTACAACATAAAGCAAGCTCGTTTGAATGAAGGGTTCCGTTCAGCTTTATTCAAGGACAGGACACCATGAGCTGAAATATAACATTCAATAAACCATTACATGTACTGCTATATTTTTTTTATAGCATGCAAAAGCAATTTCACTTCAGATAAACATGCAAAATGCATAAACATGCTTTTTTTTTTGCCTTCAAACTTAATCTGAATGTTCATATTTCCAAAAACAAAAAAATTTTTGTTTTCATCAATTTCAATAAATTTTCCCAGACTTTCCACTAATAAGCATTCAGAATAAGTATCTAAGTTTAAATATGATTATTAAGCTAAGATCCCTCCAAATAAATAATCTATCATCAAATGTTAACCTAAAGCTATGGAGGCCATGTAAGGGTGAGTGGACAGTGAAAATGACCTCTTCAAAGACTCAAAATTCAAAAAAAGAAAAGAAAAAGAAATCAAATCTTACCATTTCTCTTTTCCTGGCATGCCTCCAGGAATGGGACAAGAATAACATTCAACAAATCGTGATCTGTTACCAGCATCCGAGCCTGGACAATGGAAATAAATTACTTTATAAGTTCTTCATATTTAAAGACAGATGACAAGGTTGTATGTTTACATGAGTTACACACCTTGCACATAAGCACTTCTGGTTAAACATGTTTAAAAAGTACGAAATATGTGTATACTGTTTACAGGGTAACTAGCAAAATGACATACACATACATGTAGCTTTAAAGAAATATAAATTTTCATGTTAATGTACACAACAGGACAGTTTTTACTACAAATTCTTTACCATATTGTCACAATAGTGAGTTTGAAAACAATGTGTGAAAGTTGAATTTTCTTCTACATATCAGGGATATACATGTACACATCAGCATAACTTGCCAAGGACAGCATTAAAAAATCTCTCAATACATCAGAAACATTATTTCATATTGGGTTTCTGACAATCTTCTTACAGATATCATTTACAGAATATGCTAAAATGTAGAATTTATCTATTTACTAAACAACATTTATTCTGCTGGATCTCCCAGTCATTTACAGTATATCTCATCTTTGTGTACAACATTAAAACCAGAACTAGGGGATAAACAGAAAAATGTCAGGACAATATACATGTAAGTGGAGGCATATTGAAAATGCAGCTATGCATGTACAAATCCAATCAACCCTGCCTTTGTTACTAAATATTATTAAATATGTTACTACTGTCTTCACTGATTAAAATAATTTTGCGATTATTTGTATAGCAGCTTTTTTTTGCACTACCCTGTACCCATTCGCAATGATTATGCAGCAGCATGACTGATGCATATGTATTGAATGAATGTAAATATGTGGAGCCCTCATGAAAATTACAAAGTAAAGCAAATGCATTTTTTAAATGAATTAATGAACATGTAAACTTCATACTGCATTCAATGAAATGCTGAGTTACAAAAAGGAAAATAAAATATTTTTATGTACATGCACATATGCATTTCAAAAAGGTCTATGACTTGATAGCATGCTTTTCATACTGTATTTGAAAATAAAAATGTTCATAAATGTGTATATGAAAATAAAAATGTGCAAAAATGTTTTTGAAAATAAAAATGTTCACATGAAACTAAAAATGTTCATAAATGTTTGTACTAAAAAAAGCAATGATGTCTACTTTCTCTAGTATGTGCAACCTGCTAAAGTGCAAATATCTCCACTGACTGTGTCTGCTAAATAAAGTAGAACTGAGTTAACAATTATTGGGAGGATTTAGTTCTACATGTAAATCATGAGTTAGGGAAACTAACAGAGTTTTGAAATATCCTTAAGAGGAAAAAAAGTGAGAACTCCACATAGATACAGCTTGAGTCACAACCTCTAAACCATCTAAACTTTTCTCTCAATTCATTAATAACAGTAACAAATTTTGACTTAGAGATTGTTCTCCAGAGAAGACATATGAAGGTCATACAGAGCTGGGGTACAAACTTCTGAGACCTACCACTGTTCCTACGGCAAAAATTTGAACAGAGAGAGAGGTAATCGAGACTGGGCGATAATGGGTGTCCAGCAAAAACTCCGACATTAGCATGGAATAATGCTACAAGAACAAAACATACCATCAAACATAGAAATAGAGTTATCGTAGGAGAGGGGGGATGTGTGGATTTGTAGGGTGTCCTACACTCCCCAACACCACACCTCTCCCCTTCCTTCCCTGAGCACTTCTACTTTTTTCCTTTAACACTGCTGTTTGTAGGAGCCATGTCAGAAGACACTACACTGAATCTAGAGGTGTTACAGTTGTTTCTAAAATATTGCAAAATCTGCATCATTCAACAGTTGTGCATGCTTAATTTTGCAATATAAAGATTCATTCAGCTAAAAGTTTCCTCAGGGATGAAGTATCTCTACAGTCAGACAGTGTTATAAGCAAAGAGTAGAAATGCTGAGAGATCCGAGCAATAAACGTACCAGACTAGGAACCGTGTAAATTTGTACAGAGAGAGAGGCAACACACACGTCGTGATCGTGGTCATCACGAGCAAAGTCATGCATCACGTTTGGATACCACTGTTAACGATAATTACAAATCATATTACTCAGTCCTTGAAGTTCATCTTCTGACCATGTTGTTTGATTTCCATTTCAGGTGAACATCTTTTCAGAATTAAACTGCTGGTACCCTTTAATCTTATTTTTAATTTGAGCTTTAAAGCAATATACAAGAATAGATAAAAATTTGATAAAGCTTATATAAATTTCATGATTTTTAAAATTATACTGTATGTCAATTTTACTAATATTTACATGGTTCTAATCACATGATCAACCTGTTAAAATGTAGAAATTATAATCAAACAAATCAGAATTTGCAATCAAAATTTCAAGTTTTTTTCCTTCCTAGTGAAAAAAAAAAATGTTTATACTAGTTGGATTGCTACTTATCAAGTAGGTAAAATTCTTGTATTCAACCCTACCTTTGTGAAAATAACAGCAAACTGTTTCTTGCATTCTTGATCCATTAAAACTCTGAAAATCATGAGGAAAATAGAAAGTTATGAATGTCCATTTCATGAAAAATTTTCATGTCTTTGAAAAAAAAGGCAACATTCTTACATCAATTATCGAAAGATTTATTGTGTCAGTAATAAATATTTACAACTGTACAATAACACTTACCCAGCCATCAGAAGCTGGTGACTCAATATTCTTGCCACTGAAAAATATATAAATAAGAGTTCCTTTACTTTCAGGAAAAAAAATCATTGCTGTTTTGTATTTGCCATTTGAGAGATTATTTTTTATTAAGATGGAAAAGTAAATGTTTTCTAGGGAAAATGAACATCTCTTTACAAAAACACTTTGTCTTGTCTTGTAACCCTTTCCCTTAAATTGGGAAGTTACCGGTACATATGTACCGGTAGTTTGACAGCTTTGTGTGTGCCTTAAATACCTTTCCATAGTTGTGTGTCATGGAGCAGCAGTTTCTCCATCAAAGACTGGCCATCCTCCTGGGGCTTCATACTCAGGAGACAAAACAATCTACGTAGTCCATCTACAAAACAATGGCAGTTACAGTATGAAAATTATCTCCAACTTCTAGGGATGGTGTAATCTTACTATTGTGAATAAAAAACATAGTCTGTTCAAAAAAGGCTAACAGTCAAGTTAAATTTCTCTACACAATATAATGTACTCTGATCATTTCATGGTTTAAAGCTTGATATCATACCTGATTTTTCAATCATTTTCTGGAGCCACACCATGAGTTTAAGGCAGAAAGTCTGGTGTGCCACTACAACTGTGTGCATCACTTGGACCTTCAAAGGTTTGCTTCCATGCCTGGAGGTGCTTTGCTGCAAAACAGAAAAATTAAGCCTCATTTTGTTTGAATTACTGCCTTGGTTTTCTAAATGAAATCAGTCAGCTTTACAAGAAATCCTTTACAGAAGAAATGGGAAGCATTTTTGATGATACATGCTCTTGTGTACAGAGTGTTCAGAGATAGGGTCAAGTAAATCCATCCATGATGTGTGGAATTTCTGTTCTCCTGTGTTCCTCAGTCAGTTGATAACAAAGCATAAAAAGTGATCAACTTCTAAACAATGTACATTTAATAAATTCAAGGGCATGAAATCATTCTGTGTTTAATGCATACTTAGCCATGAATTCCAAAAATGAAAGGCAACATACATCAATCACTTGACATCACGATTCTTAGTGTAATATTGTCCTGGAGATATCTTGTTTAAAAGCTAAATTTCCTTTGTATGCCTATCATATTGCATATCTATATATGACAAACTGTAACTCTTTTGTAATATGTTCTGACAGCTCCTTTTCGGACCCAAACTGCCAAAACTAAACAACTTTGTTTGGAAAAACTTGACTCAATACTATGTAAGGATGACTGCATAATTTGGCAAAAGTGTTGCCTTGTTGTTTTTGAGAATGTTAGTTTTACAATGAACTTGTATAAATCTTATTGAGGAACAATTTGATGATGGATGAAACACTCTGAATACTACTAAGCACACTTTTATGGCACTTACATCTATTATAGTTCTACACTGTTCACAGGAGGCAAAACATCCAGAATACACAGTGGCTCGGCCCTGAAGGACAAGAAAAAAGAGAGTAAATACAAAGAAACCTGGAGCAGTATTCAGAATTACAGGTATATGCATTTCTGAATCATTTTCAAAACATCAGATCTAACAGTCAGTATCATTTGAAATTTCTCCTGTTTACCTCTCTATCAACAAGTGTAGCAAACTCCCGAGCCTGTTGTGCAGTACAGTTTTTGACAGCTCTTTGTAGTGTTTTTATTACCTAAACAAAAAAATTTCAATTGAGAACTATTTTTAAACTTACAGAACCACATCTAGATGTACATGTATACATAATAAAACACCATATAAAATAATGAAACTAAAATATATTTGACCTTCCATATCTAAAACACCAGGGATATGTCACTTCAATTAACAGTTAAACATACATTATCATGAACATGATAAAACCTTCAGTATTTCAAACCCTTGCATAATTCAAAGTTTTCTACAATAGTCCTACCAAATTCTAGATACATGTATTGAAATGTGACAATGCTGGTTTAATCCATACATGGAAGCTACTTAACAATGCAAGAATAATTTCACAGTGTTGAAGTAAGTTACAGTTTTCTTATTATATACATGTACTTTAGTATTTACTTGTAAGCTTCATGGAAATAATCTGCATGTCTCAGGTTTTAGGTCTTTCCAGTTAATTCATGTGATTATTACTGTGCTGAAAATTTATATTCTTATAATACATGGGGGAGTGGGAATCTATCAGATCTGAATATTTGTGAGAACCAAATTTAGTAATTTTACACTTGTCTGATCCCTCTCAAATTTAAAATTCTAAATTTTCGTGGAATTCTGAATTGTATGCAGACTGTACTGGTACATTTCTTTGGAAACAATTTACCAGTAGTTTGTGCAATATAGTTATACAATGCCATTTTACTATTATTGTATACAATACCTACCTGATCGTATGTGTGAACCTCATCATTGAACAACATAGTGATGTAGGTATCACTGAGTTCTCCTTCTGGCTGTAGATCAGATGGCAGATTATCACACTGGCTCCACGTCAGCAACTCCACAATGTACCTCAGGGTGGCCATGAACAGAGCACTGGCCCTGTCCGTCAGGTCCACAGGAAGTGTCTCTATAGCATTCCTCTCATCTTGGCTGGCCTCCTTTGGAGAATGTAGGTCACAGAAGGGGTGTGAAGTCCAGGCTTCTTGATCCCCACAATCACAGTACCCACCACCCCCAGAGGTATTCATCTACAAATAAAATCAGTGTAATGACTAAACAAAATCACTCCTATTCAATATGAAAAGAAACCATTAAATTCTAATAACTGAGAATCAAATGTTCATAATTAACCTTATTTTGTTTCACTGATCTTGAAGATCATTGAACAAAATGTCATTCATTTATTGAAATCATGTTTACCTTGTATCTGTGGTTTTTGTGTGCACCATTCTGGAAGCAGTCTATACAGAGAACACATGTGGGATCATTTGCACAGTCTCTGAAAAAATGATATTAAATAGTTTACATGTGAATTACAATTTTTTTTATCTAACATATTTAGGAAAAATGTTGATGAAACACTGTGTTCCTTTCATGTTATTAAACCTTTCTTTCTTGATAATCTCAGCAATGAATACCTGCATGAATAGGTTGGTTCTCCTGTTTTAAAGACCTTTCCACAGAGCTGTGATGGCATATTCTTGGCCTGGAGTTCCTCAAATACAACCTCTGGATCTTTTTGACAAAGAAAATATTCCATTGGTCGAAACAAGAACTTTTTCCCCAGGCGTTCTTCTTTAGCTGCATCATGGCTGTTACCATAGACACAGAGAACAAATGTTTTCCAATGTTTCTTCAAAGCAGATAGAAGGTTTCCCTGTTTACAGCTAGTCAACCATTCCTTTAAAAAATAAACATGAGTCTGATATAATTTAGGCCTTTCAACTAATTTTTCAAGTTATACATATGGTAAAAAACAATTGATAGATATATTTGTAGGTACATGAAATTCTTAAAAAAGATTATAACCTATACATACCTTTGATTAAATCATAAAAAAAATTAATTATTAATATTTGATTTGTACGATGTGGTGTTTTAAGGACAGGTAACTCAAATGTAAAACATGACCAACAAAGTGCCGATTTTTGAGTTATCGTTTATAGGAATGACATATAGGCTGCTTCAATTGGTAATGTTATGTACACAAAAGGGTTCCTTATATTCTTTGGTACACAAAAGGGTTGACCAAAACAAGGAGAATGCCTTCACTATATACCTGGAATAACGGGATCAATGAATGGGGAACGGACTATATTAAAGATTTTTAACTCTCCCTAACAGTTGTTATGAAGAAGAAAATATAATGCTATGTTTTTTGTTTGTGCATTGTTGTGCTTCATCTATAAAGATAAATATTTCTACAATTAAATGCAACAATAAATTATCTTATTCTTTTCACTAAGCACGAAGAAGAACGATCAAGTATAAAAATTTAATCAGATCAAAATTAAGAAGAGGGATGGATTTCACTTTATATTTTTATTAAAAATTTCACTTATATATTATTGTACAGTGTCTATAACTACATGATAATTGAGTTGAACATTTGAACTAAATTTTAAAACTACTGGATTTCCCTGTCAGTGAAGGAACACTTGGGAAATGCTAAAACTTGACATCCTTAAAAACAATTAGCTTCCTCGGACCCGCTCTAAACAAGTTCTTTTCATCCAACCCTAGCGGCAGTTGAAAGGCCTATATAATTGCACCACAACTTAAACCTATATAATAATTCATTCATCCTTAAAAGCTCTGTTTATCCCTCTCAAATCTACAGAAGTCATGAAAATCATATGTTGAATAAAGGGAAAGATATACTATACATACAGACCATCCCTAGTCCAAACCAGTTAACAAACATAAATCTACCTGTGCATTCTCAGAGTGTGACTAAAATGGGTAGTAAAACCTGGGCTGGGCAGGGAATTTTGAAACTGAAAACCGGGTTTTCGCTAATTACTGAAAAAATACTGAATTCTTCATCATGAAAGTTACAGATGTAATTAAATACAACAAAATGTGTCTTCGCTGAGAGTTTTAACACCAAATATTATGTTTTTCAATTATTATTAACGATTGTCATTTTCCCGGTGACTAAAATGGGTAGTAAGCCCGGTTTATTTATTTTGATGATTCAAAGCTACTTACACTCAAAAAATGGGATTTCTTTGTGTTTTATCGTTGTTTATTAACTTTAAGAACTTAAATAATACGACAATTGCAAAAATTAATGTGGATAATTAAACTAATCGCGGATTTTTGATACCCAGGACAGTCCAAAACCGGACGCATTTGCCCGGGACAAACTGGAATATTCCGAAAAATTGCCATCAGATAACCGGGTGCAGAGAATAACGTAGAATTTATTTAAAAAGTAACCTCCCCCCCCCCCCCATAATAAAATAAATCAACAAATGGAGAAAATATATGAAATATAGACAAAAAAATACTAATGGAGTTATGTATCTTAATGATTTGACAAGAGAAAGACTGTAGGCTACAGCTAGATTCGTATTCAGTTAATCATTTCCCTGAAATTACATGTATAGGTTTGCAGAGCTAGCTTCCTTGCTTGGAACATGTTAAATTAAGATCATGAAGATATTGCCAGTAAATTAAATAAAATCTACGCAGTTGGCTTGCTTCAGGAATATTTACTACTCTCATCATTATCTCGGAAATTTAAGGTTCGTCCCGGGTAAACGTGTCCAGTTTTGGTCGGTCCCGGTTATTCAAAAAATGCATTTTCTTCAATCGGTAAAAATTTATAAAACGGTAATATTTTTTTGGCAGTTTAAGGTAATTTCGATCTATCCAATACAAACAACTGCAATTATTTCAATAATATTAAGTACAAAACACCAAAATATGTTAACCGGGTTTACTACCCATTTTAGTCACCGGGAAAATGACAATCGTCGATAATCATTGAAAAAAATAATATTTGGAGTTGAAACTCTCAGCGAAGGCATATTGTGTTGTATTTAATTATATCTGTAGGTTTCATGACAAATAATTAAGTATTTGTTCAGTTATTAGCAAAAACCCTGTTTTCAGTTTCCAAATTCCCAGCCCGGCCTGGGTTTTACTACCCATTTTAGTCACACTCGCATTCTCATGATGTGTTGGTGATCTATTTAATGTTTTTTAAGTTTATTTTAAATTAAAATATGTTTAACCATTAAATTTTCATAATCATCTTGGCATTATATCTGATGAACAGTGTTGAACCATGCACTGCACGAATTACATAGTTCATGAAATTTCATGATATTTTGCACTTTGTTTTCTTCAAAGGTGATGACAAACACGAGACCTTTTTTTCTTTCAAACATTCTGGAACATCAACTGATCAAAATCACAAACCTGCTATCTGTTGCTGATAACTTACCCTTATAATACAAAAATATTTTTTACTGTATGTTGCTCTACCATAATTTGCTTGATAAAAGCAGAAATATCATTAGCATCACTAAATACTTCATTACTTTTTAGTGCATCTTTAACTGTTTATATAACAGCTGTAAAGCAAAAGTTTCAAGAGTAGCTATTTATTTGTGGAAACTGAGTAGTTTCCTGGCCATGTATTTTTTTGGTTGGAAGTAAACCATATTTTAATCATTAAATAACAATAAAATAATTTAATTTGATCGTGTTACTATGTCGCAATTTGAGATCGACGATTATTACACAAACATCTAGGTGAATGCGATGAAAATAAATATGTCAAAACTCCTTTCCAAAATTGCAGAAGTATGGAGCTAAAACTATACCTCCAACAATCTGTCTTGTCTATACTCAGGCGTCGAAAATACATTTCTCATAGCCATTTTCCATAATTTTGGTTATTTTACCAAATATGCGTATCACCTTCTTTTCCGCAACGTAACGCTCTTTGTTTACAAGCGTTTCAAATCCCCTGACCATATTGCACATCGAACCCGACCACAAAAATACAATAGAAACGAAACGGAAACAACTTTATGATTTGGTTGATGGTAACTATAAAGCCATGGAAAAAGTTACTGACGTCTACGTTGAAGAATGTACAAAATCCCGATATATAAAGCCACTGCGTTTAAGGTACAAACAGGTAAAGTAATATCCAATTTTTATGATTATTGTTCTTTTTATTAGGTCCAGCAATGCAGACTCTGTAAAGTATGATATGAAGCTATATTTTACCCAAAAAAAAACTCTTTGTGAAAAAATTATCACTGTCCTAATAAAATTATGAAAAAACTACATAAGTTTTTAAAGAAAAATCAAATCTCTATGGGATCAGGTGTAACCAGCGAGGAGAAAAATGCAATCGGCTAGACCAGGATTCGCATCCCTAGCCCTGAATCACTAGTCAGTTGTTTTACCAACTGATGTATCTGACCACCCCCGATTGAACCTGCCATACTGCCACACAGGATAGAGCCATGTAGTTCACTATCGCACCATCAAAGTCATTCTCTTAATGTCAGGGGTTCTGTGTCAACTATGATTGCCGTGGGACCTAGGGATGGGTATCGCCAAAAATTTTTGTATCACAATATATATCACAATTTTTTTTCAGAAATATCACAGTGATATCATGATATGTTTGAATGCAATTTTTACTATGATTTTAAATGAATTTGTACAATTCTTCTCATAAATAAGGTGTGAAAACATAACTTCACCTTTCTGTATTTGTAAATTGTTATGGTATGTTTGTGGGCGGTCAGACAGGTTGGATTGCTGGTGTCCAGGTAGCTCAGTTGGTAGAGCACCTGACTGGAGATTCAGGAGGCCCGGGGTTTGAATCTTTGTCTGGTACGTCGCATTTTTCTCCTCTCCTAGCTGTTACATTTAGTGCCGTACATGCCATGACCTGGAAGTGAAAGGTGAAAGACCTGCCTGGGAAGAGCCTGGGTTGGTGTTTTTGGGGGGCCGAGAACTTTAAGGAGGGAGGAATATGGCGGTCAGACAGATTTGATCATCAGTGTCCAGATGGCTCAGTCGGTAGAGCACCTGACTGGAAATTCAGGGGGCCCAGGTTCAAATCCTGGTGCATTTTTTCTCCTCTCCCATTACATTTGAATGCTAGGATGCCGTTGTTTTACTATTTAACAACATCTGTTTTACACTTCTGGTAATTGTAATGCAAAAGTTTAAACAAGAAAATTAATTATTCCAGCATTTATTATTATATACTTTATACAGGTATTTTAGTCTCCATATCACTATATACATATTGCATAATCTAAAATCCCGATATACATCATGTACATGTACCGATAAAATCATGCATCGGTAGTGGGACCCCTGACGAATTTCATTCGTTTTTTTTTTCAGGCTTGCTTCTCTCATTGAGAAGCATCAATCAAATTGAAGTAGACAGACAATGTAAGCAGAAAGGAGTTAGTTGACATCTTAAGGGGATGAAGGACACATGGTCACATGACTTTGTTAAACTACGTCATAGTCTCCATTTATATAAGTGCAAAACGTGTAAAGCACCAGTTCTTGTATAAATTTTTGACAATTTTTTTTTCTTTAATTACCATCTTATATTAAAAAAATAAAAAGTTTAACATTCTTGTAAACATTAACAAATTATGAAAAAAGATTGATCCACTCCTCTGTTTCTTTACACTGCGCGTCCCACAAGTCGGTGACGTCATACACGATCTGCTAGTACAGCAAGATCATACTCGGTGAATACAAGGGCGGTGTTATTATGTAAAAACAGGTCATAATCAGTATAGAATGAAGTATTTTGAGAAACGGGGAACACAAAAATTATTTTTGCATGGCTGATGACGGAAATCTTATGTAGGTATATCTTAATTGGCTTATTTAGCTTACGTGTGACGTCATAGTTGGTTTTTCCCGTACTCGAGAAATGTAAACATGACAAGTGTTTGTCCTGCTTATGTCGTCTTTAACGATGTCCTGTGCAATATTAAGGTCAGCTTCACCATTCGAAATTTTTACAGTTAATCAATAATTTGAAGGACTTGCATTTGAACGTAAATTTAAAAATATTGAATGATAGGATTTTTTGTAAATTACGTTTTTTGTTGTTTAAGTTGTCTTAAAAAGTTCGTAATTTTCCCTATCCAGATGCAGTGTGATAGATGAACTTGCCTTTTCGAATTTTAAACCCAATTCATACTCTGAAATATTTTAAAAGATACATGTTCACTTACATATTTTTTATATATGCTTTAAAAATACAATTATGGACAGAGTAATGAGCCTGGAAACATGGAGAATTAAAACTCCACTAAGATACTGTAGGGCATCATATTTGTCAATCAATATCTCTAAAATAAGGTCAGAAACCTAATGATATAACTGCTTTAAGATATGTGGGACATACTTAATTAGAAATATACAAAATATGAAAAAAATTGAATGACAAGTATTTTTTCAGCTAAAGGTCCTTCTTCCCCTTAAATCCACACATAACATTATATACTTCTCCATTGATAAAAATATGATGGAAGGTCTCAAGTTATTTTACTTCCTCACATTGAAAGAAAAAGAAAATATTACAAATGCAAGTGATTATTTTGTGTGTGGTATGATGAAGAGTTAGAGAAATAATTATTTAGTCCAAGCTTCAATCCTTATATTAATCAGGCATGGGACTAAGATTTTGCATTAGAGGGGCACTATTAGATGGTGAGGTCTCCAGGGTAAAGGAGTTTTTGATGGGGAGCCGGAGGGGGATGAAGCCCCCATAAGCTCATGAGAGTTGGCAAATAGAGAACCTTATTTTATTACATAGATAACAGTAATTCTACCTTTATTACATCAATGTATGACTGTGAAAACTACATCTGAAGTTTTATTTTTTCTTTAGAATAGAGAAGATAAATGTTGGGACCTCATAAAAGAACATGATGAGTAAGTTCCCTGAATACTACTATAGGGACATATGAAACGTCCTGCAAAATTAAGAATGGATTGTGACATCATTTTTTTATGAGATACTTTATATGACTGCTAAAATTATCCTGGTGTACTGTTGGTATACTGAGTATGACAGTGATTGATTATGGGGATTTTGTTCTTCACAAAATTTTCAGTAATTTGTTTGCTTTACAACAGATACAAAATTAGATAAAGTGTATGGAGACAATTAAAGCAACAATGCTAAGAAGGGTGAATAAAGTTAAAGAGGATAGAAAATCTGTGAAAGCTAGGGTGACTCGCATTTGGGTCCACCAATCTCTCTGTTTGGTGAAAAAGAAATCACACTGTGCAAATTGCAATTTCCCAAATGTTTTAAATTATTCCTCTTGTGAAGTTTTCCATTCATTTTCATGTGCTTGTATTGGTACTGTTACTATGGTTACAGTATGTTTATTATTTTTTAGCATGACTCAAATTTGCAACTTTCATCTTATTGTATTAATGGTAGATAGGATGATCAATTGTGTATTTCCAAATGTAAAAAAAATCATTGAGTTTGTTTTAAATGCTTTAAATTATTTTAAACACTTTAAGCAAAAGCCTCTAGACCTCATTTTATTATAACAAGATGTGTTTGTGAAACACTGATGCCCCCATATGGCACCTCATGGAGAAAGTGAAAGTTTCTTAAATGCAAATAAAACTCAGGCCAAGGTTAAAGTTTTTTAAAAGTGGGTCAAAAATATTTGTACCCAAGGAAACTTCTCTCAAGGGATACACATGTGTAGTATGAAAGTCCTAGTATGTCAGAATAGTTTAAAAATTATGACCAAGGTTAAAGTTTGGTGAAATTTTGCAAAGTGGGTCAAACTCCAATGCCAAAGTCAAGAGGTCAAATATGAAGGTACCCAGACAAAGGTTTTGTCACAAGAAATACACACATGAAATATGAAAGCCATAGCTCCAACCAGTCAAATGTTGTGGGCAAGGTTAAAATTTTTATAGACAGACAGGTGGACAGGGCAAAACTATATGCTCCAGAATCTTCGATTACAGGGGCATAAAAAACATTTAAAATGGCTTATTGTTAAATAATTTAATTTTGTTTGTATTCTATCCTCTGATTGGTTAATATCCAAAAAGGAACACAAATTATTTCTGTATAACCTGGTTTGGTATGGGGACACACCCCCCTGACAACCAGCTGAATCATCTGTATCCATACAATCCTCTCATTTCCAGTCCTCGGGATTCATGGAAAATTTCAGATTTAATAAAGGTACCTTTAACTTAACAATAATTCGATCTTACCACATGTAAACAAACAACAAGGCTGCCGCTAGGCCTATGCATCAGTTTTTACCTCCCCTCGCTTCCCATTACTTCCGTTACTTCCGTTACTACGGTTGTATTATTGAGCGGCAAATTTGAACTAATAAAAAGCAACGAAATTTTATGCCCTTACTTATTTAATGATTTTAAGATTAAATTATAAGGAATGACTCTAATTCTTGGCCAAATTATTCGAGTATAACCTGGTTTGGGTCAGTTTACGCTGTTTTATAATCCGCTTCGCAGATTATAAAGCATAAACTGACCCAAACCAGGTTATACTCGAATAATTTGGCCAAGAATTAGAGTCATTCCTAAAAAATATTGTACTGAACAAGACATTGACCCTACCTCAACCCCCACCTCACGGAGTTATATGTCTGGTGGGTATCAAAAATGTTACATTTGAAATTTGGTTTGATGTAAATAGGTAAAGTAATCATATCATTGCTACATGTATATCAATTTAATTAAACACACATGTACAACAAACTAATTGATTCAGGAACTTTATTGTTTTCTTCAGAATGGATCAGACAAAATTTGGGATGCAATGCAAGTTCATAATAGGTATGTTAACTCAGAAATATATTACAAACTAGTCTGATCCTGAAGTTTTCAGATAATTAAAGATGTCAGAAAATTGACCTTTTTTATACCAAAAATGATAATCTTATACATTATAAACTTCTATGTATCTTATTAATTTTATCAAAATTTCTCACATGCTCAACTCTCCCTTGAATTGTCTTTCTTTGACTTGTTTTTTTTTTTTTTTCAAGTAAATCATTCAAACTGCCACAAATGGCCACAGGTGCTTGTTGTTAAATATTTTTCTTATAACAAAAAATAGGAATCCCCACCTAAAAAATCATTTGTTATTTACTAGATAGGGGTTTATTTTTTTCTTGTTAAGAAAATTATATAAACATCTGTGAAAATGGCAAACTTTATTCAGAACATCTGTTAATCACTTTGTATATTTATATATGATCAAGAAAAAAGTTTGAGTAAATATTTTTATTTGAATTTAAATGGTCTCACAGTACTTTCTCTAGTCTGTGATTTATCAGTTTAAGTCTTGGGATAGGCACAATGTGTACACCTAATAGTTCCTAGTATGCAAATGAAGTTACATTGGAAGGAGATCAAGTTTATATTAGCTGGTGTTTAATTGTTAGCAAATTCCACAAATATTGTGAACAAGTTTATAAATTTCAATGATAATTGTGACAGTGTATACTTAGGAGAAGGTATAATCAATGAGATTTTGATTTAAATCCAGTAAAAGATCCAAATGCTGGAAATTCTCTGAATTTTTTCTTCTATATATCTATCTGCATTTTGGAGAAAACTATATGAACAAAGAGAGATAACTCAAGTACGTATACCAACTTCAAGAGAAGGGTATTAAATGTTAGGGTGCTCTATGCTCTAGTTAACAGTTGGTTGATTGCATGATATTTGACTTAGGACATGGAATGTTTTTGAAGAAAAATAAGTTTTGCAATTTATTAATTCTAGTATTGTTTCAGATTCTCTTTTTATTGAATAGTTGCATTTCTTAAGGAAGCTCTGAAGTCTATAAACACTATTATGAAATTTTAAAATGTTTTTTTGACTTTGAGAAAATTGTATCATATAAAGTTGTACATATTGAAATTTATATCTAGTTCATTTTCAACATAGGGTACTTACCATATTTCTCCAGGAAAAAAAAATGTTGTTCAAAGAAAATGAAGTGTTAATAATCAGAAATCACTGTTGTTTACTTATATTGGGAATGTACATGCAAATAATGGTTTCAATTACTTTATCTTGGTGTAATATAATGATAAGAATACTTTAATTTATTTTTTATTGTGTCATTTACTGTAATTCTCCATTTATTCCATTTTACACCAAAGAGCAGAACACTAACTGCATAAAACTACCTTGGCATTAAGGACCCTCTAGCACTGCACAATGAAGAGATCCAATTCCATGGCATTTTTTGCAGAAAGAGTTATCTGCCCCTAGATCTAAAATGAAATAAATTGATTCAATTTGCAATCAATTCAGACATTCTTAACATTTTATTAGACCAAGATACATTAATTGAACAGTTAATTTGCATGTATTTTCCCCTTTTGATTAAGCAACAGTGATTTCTGTTCATCAATATCTGTTGTCTTTTAACATTTTCCTGGGGATAAATGGCAGGTCCCTATGTTTAAAATGAAATAGATAAACTCAATCTTTTCACATTTATGCAATAAAATTTTCTTAATTTCCAAAAATTATTTAATTATCACTAATGTATAGAATGTCTTTAACATCTTCAATGTGCATTGTTTAGAGCTTATATTTTATTTTCAGCATTGCTGTTCTCTTGTACAACAAATCTAATGACTCCTTTATCTTTGTTAAACAATTTAGACCAGGTAAGAAAAACACTTTTTAGGATTTAATTTTTTTTCGTACAAATTCCAGTTTTGCATACAATGAAGCTAATCAAATAGAAATGAAAATCTCAGAATATTTCCATTTACAAACCATTTATCTTTTTTTCAGCTATTTACTTGAATAACTGTGAAACGGAACAGAAAAACAACAAAGTATCAATCGATTCAGACAAATTTCCAGGTTCACTTGGGATAACTTATGAACTCTGTGCAGGTTTGATAGACAAAGATGTCAGTCCAGCAGAAATTGCCAAAATGGAGATCCTAGAAGAATGTGGATTTGATGTCCCTTTAGAATCAATAGAACATGTGACTTCCTACAGGTAAGCTGACTGAAGGATAAACCACAAAAATGTCAAAGGAGGGAGAGGACAGGTTTTTTTAATCTGTTCAATACAATTGGTAAAATTTCTCAAAGGTTTTGAGAGAATGGAAAGCTGTGCTAGTTGATGATGTAAATGAGACGTTTTGGTAACTGAATAGGTGCAACGAAAAATGACAGTTTTAAGCTAAATAATAAACAAGTGTTTATTATTAGTGTGTTAGATATCCGAGACACCCAAAATTCATGAATATATATAGGTATATTCAACTCTGCCTTTCTCTCTCTCTCTCTCTCTCTCTCTCTCTCTCTCTCTCTCTCTTTCCAGCTTCGTACATTACCATGATTACAGAGAAATTATTTTTAAAGAGATTATATAATAGACATTGTCTGAAGATGCACTTGCTTAAATCCAAACATACAGGATCCAAAAGCAGATGACAATACATGTATTCTGTTTCTAACTACCGATGAATTCAGTTCATGAATTATGTGTTATGCATTGTTAAGATCTTGCAGTTTCTTGTGTCAGCGTCTGAATGAAAATGCATGTGTTACAAAGAGAAATTGTTGAATATACAATTCATTAACATAAAATAGGATTTAAAATGCATGTTCTGAGGGTACATTACAATAATAAAGAAGAGAACATTGTGCATCAAACACAATATGTCTAGAATTAATATCCATGTCCATTTGTGTTGAACACTAAAGAAGTGTAGAATATCAGGTTTTAACAATAAATATAACTCGATCTAGCAGGATTTGCAGGAAAATGATGAAACACATTGTGTAGGTCATTTATGTTAAAAGAGACTATACAGACTCAACTCTTATTAGACAATCATTTGACAGATCGAACTATGCAATCCTAGGTTCTCAAGATGTAAATGAATTGTGGGAAAAAGGTGACATAGATAAATTAAACGTCAGCTTCAGGACATTTTTAATAGACCTGCAGGATCTAGATTTCAAATGATAAAATGTTAATTTCTTACTGCATATTTATATGCAGGCAGTAATATTTTGTTGAGCATGAAATTATGCTACCTAAATAATTAAAAGTTTACAAAGGTTAAGTACCCTTACAGTTTTGTATGAACACATTCACAGACGTATGTCTGAAATTGAGGTGTTATTTATATTAATAATTTGGTTGAATAAATTAAATGAAATTTGTGGTTCTCTGTGCTGTTTTTTGCATTTTTACAAATGCTATCATTTCTTGGCACTTATTTAATTCCTTTATGTGAATAAAACTTTTCCTTAATTCTCAGGATTATATTTAAACATTTGACAATACATTTTGAAAATTGATATTTAGTGAGTTTGAATGCAGTTGATGCTTCACATTTCCTAAAATTTCATTCCAAATTAATTTCTTTACAACAGTTTTACTCAAAAAGAAAAAAAATAGAAAGTCTGTTGACAGTAAATATTTAAATGTTATAAAACTGTCTCATAGTAGGTGTTTCTATAGATAACAAATGGATTCCAGAAATGAAATACTAGCTCCAGCCATTCCTCATACAATGCTCCTTTTTACATAAGAGTGCATACAGCAGCAGGTTTGCTACTTTTATAGCCCTATTACATGTAGGAAATGTTAAATGCTAACTTTTTTTCATGTAGTACATACTTGTTGTTTCCTTTCCAGTTTATAAACAGTTACAAATATGTTGACAGAAATAATAATCTTCATCAGTTCCTTTTGTGAGTTTAATCTGCAGTTGTCTAATACAAAGCAGTATTGAAATTCACTGCAATTTAGCACATTTTCAGTTGATCAATTTACTGTAAACATATTACATTTGGCTGTATTTTTTATTAGAGCCTTTGGCAAAAAGCAATTTCAGCTAATTCAAGTACAATGCTAAACGTCTTGCACATATACTGTACATAAATAAGATTATTAAGAAATGCTCCAAATCAAATCTAAGCAAATTTGTTCAAAAATGAATTTCCACCAAATATTGTATGCTATAATACATTTATAATAATTTGGGCATGGAGGTATGGTAAAAGGGCTCTGTCCTTGAAAATTGACTCTTTTTCCCAAAAATTAAGATAAAAATTCCAAAATGACAAGCAGATTGAATTTTTTATAATGAGCAGTCTTTAATTTTTCAGATTATATAAAGATGTGCATAGAGGATAAGCCTACAATCTATCTTTATTTTACATAAATCATATGTCATCAGTATTTTAACCCCTGATTAATATACCAGTAACATAATAGTAGGTATGAAATGATTCAGCAGAGGGCAATATCATCTCTTTCCATGCTAACTATATACAAGGTCTCAAAGAATGAACATAAAAAGTCTTTAAATTAATTCTAAACAAAGAAGTACAATGCATTTCATCAACAGTTGTAATAGCAAAGAAAAACAGGAGTTACCGGTACATATGAAAAAAATTATGAAGGGGAGGAGAAGAAAATTTTGAGGGAAATGGAGAAGATGGGTTCATATCAATATATCAAGAAAAATCTGAGTTTATAGAATTGGAATTTGCACATTTGATTGAAGTTTACTTTTTGTAAATGAGAACACTAAATCCTTTTATAGTGAAGATCCATTGGAGGATAAGTCTGGTACTGTGCCAGCAGCTGCAATAAGTCCAGCTCCAGTATTATATCAAAAAGTTGCTGCAATAAAAAAGGGAAATTGCTGCATTCAGGGTCTCAAAAGTTTCAGAAAATTGATACTGCATGTACTAGCTAGAAAACTGCCATAAAGATTAACCCCACAATTTGCACATTTAAATTTTTTTTATTGAAAAAAAAAATGAAAATTTTATTATTTTTCTTATTTAGTACTTACTCGATATTTGAAATCTTTTTTTTTTTTTTTTTTTTTTTTTTTTGTATTCAATGAAAGATTTACACATGAATACATATGAAAAATCTTTTACAATCTTCTTCTCAAGAATAGCAAAGCCATGATTTGTCTTATTTATATGGAAGCATCTTTGGGTAATGTTAATTCATATTTGTTCAAATCTTGACCCCCTGGGGTAGGGAGGTGGCACAACAGGTGATCAAAGTTTTAGTTAGGAATATATAGGAAAGATCAATTAAAAATCTTCTCAAAAACAACAAAACCATGATAAGTCATTTTAATATAAGTTAATTTTGGTTGTAATGCATTATTTGATTGGATGAAAAAATTAATATATATTGTATAACCTGGGTTTGTTTTTGCAGCTTTCAATTTATACTCTATGGATCCTCTATGGATTGTTGTTTTATACTCAGGTGACTGTTAAGGCCCTTGGGCCTCTTGTATTGTATGTGGTACAAACAAGCTTTTATGTTTGATAGAAAAGAATTCAATGAACAAAATAAGTAAGAATTTTTTATATGCAAGCACTGTAAGTGTCACAATATTTTTTATGTGTTTTTATTTTAATGTCAAAAGAGGGGGAAATAGGACTTTGTCTTATTTGAAAAAAGACTGTTGTAAGATATTAGACTACATTGTCATAGATCTGTCTTGAATTTTGACCTGTATGGTGTATCAAACTGGGTTGAATTTCATTTGTTTATCGCCACTCTCTGATCACAGAAAGTTGTCTTCCTTATAGAAGTCATCTTTTTCATTGAGCCAGGGACTTTCCCTTTTTCTCAATTAATGTTATCTGCTGATTGGTTGTAGGCTTGTGTTTGCCTTTTTTTAAATGAAATTTCTTGTATGTATATATTTGTTTTACCTAATCTTCATAGTGGTCGAGGCATTGAAACATATTTTCTAAATTCTTCTTCAGGAGTGGTGTGGGGACCACAGGATCTAAGCAGTATTTCTTTTATGCTGAAGTAACCGAGGAAATGCGAACTGGAAAGGGTGGTGGTGTAGTAGAAGAAGGAGAGATGATTGACGTTATTGAAATTCCTAAATCAGAGGTCATGACCTTTGTAATGGATGAAAGTATTAACAAACCAGTTGGAATGATGTTTGCTGTTTTTTGGTTTTTCCAAAATAAATCAAATAAATAATTTATTTTTATTAGGTTGTTGATAAGAATCATGTGCAGCATAGTAGTGTGTACACATCGTACATGGTGTGTTGGAATAGATCTTTTGTAAAAGTCAAGTGACTATAGGGTGTAAATAGTAGGGCCATGCGGTAGGGCAGCACTTTAAGCTTGCTTGCTTGTTAGTAGGATTCTGAGAATGGCTGACAGTGATACAGGAAATGAGTGAAATATGAAGATAACGAACAGTATTCATGCTCAAAAGTCCAATTAAACAATACAAATTATGAGCAGAGCAAACATGGACCTCTGAAAACAGAGGTGGGATAGGGTGGCATAGAGGAGTGGGCATCCCTGTTGACCACTTACACCTCCATGTGCCCCATGTCATGTTCGGGTAAACAGAATAATCCATAGACAAATATGTGAAAATAATGGCCTAAAAATTTGTGTGAAAGACGTTAGCCAATATTCGACCTAACGATAGATTGTATTTGCAAACAAGGTCTTTGTATCGACTATAGAATTTGCGAAATGTTGACTTTTATCGAAATTGTTGATATCCTTGTATCCTCAACGTATTTGTCAGTAGCCTGCTTCGTGTTAGAAATGAGTTGCGTCAAGAGAAAAGGGAACTTCGTGACATAAACGTAATTATGTCACAATAGCACTTCAAAGACGTGACGTCTCTGTGTGTTTTGCGAAGAAAAATCCTCGTGCAAAGAGGCAACTCAAAAAATGAATATAATTGCGTATGTAAAAAAGTAAACACGTTGTTACTGTCCAAATAAAAATTGAACAACGTACTCTATTTATAGATTTACTGGTACCTTTTTTTTTTCAAAAAATAACGTATAAATTATTTAATTAATGGCAGTTCATGAATAATGCTATTTATGCTTGCACCCCTCAATAATATTGTCTGAAAACTCCTAAATAAACTGCAATGAATTAAAAGTAAACACAGTAACATTGGGTAAAGTTGATGCTTGAATCCAAAATTATAACACAAATTTTTCTCTAGAGGCCCCTCGTATCCAAAGTAAAAACAAGCATATCAAGAGACCCCGTAGTATCCAAAATTGTAACCCTCACATTTGTCTTTTCGTGGACACCATATAGTACCTAAAAGCATAGACCTGAAGCAAATATGCTTTAGGTCTATGCCAAAAGTTATAATTTAAACTTTTGTCCACATTTGTTTGCCTTCGTTTCTGAAATTACATCTCGAACTTTTGTCTAGGGACCAAAGTTATAACGCCAAATTAAATTTTGCTTAGGGACAACCTTGTATCTAAAGTTATAGCACAGACTTTCATTTAGAGACCACTCGTAATCAGATTTAAAACTCAAAACTTGTATCTAGGGACATCCTCGTTTCTAAAGTTATTACAGAAACTATTATCTCTGTAATTGTATCCAAAGTTATTTAAAATATACTGTATTGTCAATGAACACCGGATTTCAAAAGAAATATCTCAATTTTTGTCTACATGCAGATATTTTCGTTTCTAAAGTGTATAACTCGGACTTTTGTTTAGGGACACTCTCATTTCAATAGTTATAAAGAAGATGGGTGAACATGACAAACGAAAAGCCTATAGTGCGACAAATATAAAGGTGAAAAATTAAATCTTAATTATATAAAAATTTTCCTTGATATTTTTCATCTAACATTAAAATATACTTATGTAAAATCTCTACAATTTGCAAAAATATCTCACAAAGATTTAAATTAGTTGCCTATGTAATATTATACACACACTAAAGAAAGCAAAAAGGGTCACTTTCTCATACTATAACACTATTTTTTGATATGAGTGGGTCTTCGCTCCATTTTTTTTAGAAAGTTAATCCTCAAAGTTTGCATATAAATATACATTTTCTGGTTAACAAAAATATGGAGCAAAGACCCACTATACCTTATAAATATACTTTTATGACATAACATTCGCATCTTTTCGAGAAATACTTGAAGTCCATAAGGTCAAGGGTCATATCACAAACATGATTTAAAAGTCATTATTCATCAGGACTTGTTAGTCTAGTGGTTAGCGTGCTAGTCTCAAAAAAAAAATACTTAGTATTTTTTATCGCTAGGGTTCGAACCCCACTAATACCAAATTATTTTTCAATAAAATACTAATTTTTGCTGAGAAAGTTTTCTTCAAAAAGTTTTGTTTATCATAATTTCATAAATTTCAATAATGAGAACTTCACTCCAAATACTAAATTCACAAATTGAGCATAGTTTTTTGTATATCTGAAGCTGTATAGGCTCTCGCACGCTATGTTCGCCCATCTATTTTTATCTAGGGATGAATAATCTTTTATTTTAATTACTAGATCTTTAAAAAATATCCGATGGTATTTGAAACTTTTAACCGAGTTCCCATGTGTAAGGTTTAAATTTTACACAATATTGCACCCCAGTTTTCTATACTTAAATACTTACTAATAGCCATTTCGTGTTTGAAGATTTATAACTGAGCAAAACATTAAAACTACTCAAAATTCTTCTTTTTTTCCCCCTATCAATTCCTAGAAAGAAAAAAATAATCATATTCATTTTTGTATGATTAGCTATCCTTGGCAATTACCCTTATTGATGTCGGGGTTTTTTGGCTTTGGCACTCGTCGTTAGACATCCTTAATCTTGTAATCATACACGGTCTGAGGTGATAAAATATTCATTGCGTCATTATGACGACTAAAGGCAGATGGACCGACCTCTGCGCATTGAAAAAGATGACCTTCAGCGTAGAAGACGCGGTTTGCCAAATGTCGTCTGCACTCGCCGCAAGATTTTTATCATGATCTCTGTTACACAAACTCCAGTAGGACGATGCTATAACAGAATTTCCATCTCTGTCAGTATTTCTAGTGAATTCAAATTCAAGCAATTTTTATATAATTATTGATAAATCTGAAACAAAATTACATTCAGAAATTTCCAACATTCACCAAATTAGCGTAACTAATAGGCGATAAGAAAAGTTGTGCCTCTTTTTAAGTAATGTAGCTGTGGACCTTCGACTTGCAGAAAAATATGTCTTTATACAAATTTCCAATTTAAAGTTGGAAATGACTAAGAGAAAATATATTGTCATGTAATCATTTCCAACTAGTAAAGACCAATGTTCCAAAATGTATAGTTTCTGTTCTGCAGTTTCATGTACGTATGTAATAAATATAATAAATATTTAATTGTAGAGTAGAAGATTCAAACTATTGCATGAATTAATTGCAGTTAAACACACAGAGAACATTGATCATTTCATGAATTATAACTGCTTGTAATGAAACTAGATATATCTTAATTTGTGCTATATAAATAAATACCAGTATGTCTTCTTTGTTTGGGGTACTCATTAAGATTTGTTCCCATCTGTCTTTCTTACTTTCCCGAATTTTACCCTAGGGATTCGACTTAATGTTGACATCGTATGCATAAATAATTGTGTCAAACTGTTAGGAAGACTGTGTAGGTGCAATGCTTAAATGAAATTAACAAAGTTTTCCGTTATAGGTTTTTTTTATTCCTTTTAAAACAATATTTATTAAGAAAATATTTGAAGATGTTTCAAAGTACCGTATGCCATAGGCAGGAATCGCTCACAAGAAAAGGGCGTCTTTAGAAGGAGAGTCGACTGTCCCAGATCGTATCTTGACGATACATGTAGAACTTGTATTATACTTTTTTTTATTATATACTAGTTATTTTAATTCATGTACAGAGTGGAATAAAAAGATGAAAATAAATAAATAGATATTGTAACACGTATTACATCCCTGAAAATATAAACCATATGCACCCATTTGTTTTTTCTTTAAAAAAAAAGCATTGGTATAGTCTTATCTATTTGTATTGTCTACATCAAAATTACATCTGGTCAAATTTTAGAGGAGAACAATATTTGTTGTGTCTCATACTCATTTGCATATATGATGGATGCCCCTTACTTTATCACTATAAATCTCATCTGAGGCGACAAAATTCATTCTAATATTGTGTACCTGTGTCATTAATTCTCTCATAAAATTCCAAGTTTTCATCGAGGAAAAACAATTTCAAATTTGAAAAATAATTTGTCGCTTGAGTATCGACCATAATTCACAGAATAATAAAAACAAAATGGCCGGCTAAAGCTGTGATATTTCGTGATAAGGAAACCTGATACGATCGGGTATTGAAATTTGCTGTAAAAATTTCAATTTATCAATCCTCCAATCCGGGATATATTGCCATAATTTTAATACATTTTTCATTTTGAGACCGGTTTAACAGATATAACTGAAATCCGATCCCGACAATTGTCTTTTAAAATGTCAGCTGAGCGGGTGTGTTACTGAAGAACCCGGTCCTATCACTGTATAATCAGGGAGGACAGAATCAACTTATAAAATATGTGTCAAACTGTTTACTGAACACAAAAGCAAGGTGTTAGCAACATTCTCGGAGGTAAAGCAAAGTAATTTATCAATTTTGGAGAGGGGGTTACCCGATACAGATGAAAAATAGGATTACAATAGATTTTGTAGTTAATTATCTGACAATTATTTTTAGATTATCAAAGAAACAGTAAATCGATATTTTTAGCTTTGAAAATATATTTGCGCGCTTTAAGAAGAAAGGAAAAATACATCAGATTTCAATTATATCTGTTAAATCGGTCTAAAAATGAAAAATGTATTAAAATTATAGCAATTCATATATTCCGGATTGGAGGATTGATAAATTCAAATTTTTACAGCAAATTTCAATTTAAAATTGATCGTGCTCAGAGCATGTTCTCGGGTATCGATTAAGTAAACGTAACCCATATGCAAGTGATAGCGGAATATTGCTACATAAACAAGGAAAGTAGACGATGTAAAAGCTAAAGTCATCTCGTTTGTCATATAGTTTAGTTGTTAGTTGGCCCTTATCGTCTATAGTCATTAAAACATCCAAATATGAAACAAATTTGACAGACTCTACATGGTGTCTTTTATATCGAGTTCACTGGGGATAAATCGAGTCGAT